CAAACGCACAGCAGCTAATTCGTTACCTTTTTCAGTTAGGACTACTTGATCCTCCATATCCTCATATTTAGCTAGTTCCTTTAAAAAAAGGAACAGATAAAAAAAAGTAAATATAGATACACAAATATACGTCCACGCGTGGAGGAGACATTTCCTACTCGAGTGCAGTTTACACAAAGCAGCGCGGAGAGGAAGCCACTTGCCCTGTGCACAGGGTGAAGAGCAAGCAGCCCGTTACAGGTGAACTGAACACAAACAACTTGTTTTTGCCAAGTCGGCGGGGCAAAGGGGTCCTCCACGCTCCAGCTCTGAAGGGCTGGGCCGACAAAACCCGGCTGGGGCTGGCGCTGGGGCTGGCGCTGGGGGCGGGGCGGGGGGCCCCCGTGGCGCGACAAGGGCAAAGGTTCGGATCACAAGAATGACAAACTCTCCCGCCCCCCGCTCCGCGCGCCACCTCCCCCCCCCCCCCGCCCGCCCAGTCAGCCTCCCCCCGCGCGCAGCCGGTCACCTTGATGAGGCGCAGCAGGTCGGGGCAGTCCTCGGGCCGCGCGCTACGGATGCGGAACGGGGCCATTTTCGGCGGCGCTTCCCCCTGCGGCCCCCCCGGCTGGCGAGTACCCGGTACGTGAACAGGAGCAGCAGCAGCTTGTTCATTCGTGTCCCCGGCGCGGCGGCTCAGTCAGGCTCCGAGCATGGCGCGGTGGCGAGCCCAGACCAACTACGCAGTCCCGGCTCCGCGCTGTGTGGAAGGGGGGCCACCCGGGCGGCCCTTATTTATCGGCAACAGGCCCCGCCTCCTCCGGCCCCTCCGCCAATGGCCCCACCCCCGCTCAGGCCCTCAGCCAATCACAGCGCTCCTGACCCAAGCATTACCTCACTCCTCCAAGAAACTGGGGGCGCGGCGCGTGCGTCTTGCCAGCGTGAGGCCCGGAGCGCGCGGCCGGCAGCGCCCCCTGGCGGGCAGAGGCTGCTGTCTTGCTCCAGGAGGGGCGAGCTCTGCTCCAAGGACTGCGACTCCCTGACCCACAGAAACTTCAGCGCCGAGGTTGGGCCCTGTGGCCTTTGGTCTGCGAGCTCCTGGGGGCAGGGACTCTCCCCCTGGGGTGTCAGGGAAATGCCCGCAAGGCAAACAACAGGCACTGCCCCAGGGCATGGGGAGACTAACTGCTGCAAAGAGTCCTGTGGCACCTTATACACAAACAGACATATTGGAACATAAGCTTTTGTGGGTGAATACCCACTTTGTCGGCTGCATGTAGTGGAAAATTTCAGATGCAGGTATAAATATGCAAGCAAGAATCAGGCTAGGGTTAACGAGGTTAGTTCAATCAGGGAGGATGAGGCCCTCTTCTAGCAGTTGAGGTGTGAACACCAAGGGAGAAGAAACTGCTTGTGTAGTTGGCTAGCCATTCACAGTCTTTGTTTAATCCTGAACCGATGGTGTCAAATTTGCACATGAACTGAAGCTCAGCAGTTTCTCTTTGAAGTCTGGTCCTGAAGGTTTTTTTGCTGCAGGATAGCTACCTTTAAATCTGCTATTGTGTGTCCAGGGAGGTTGAAGTGTTCTCCTACAGGTTTTTGTATATTGCCATTCCTAATATCTGATTTGAGTCCATTTATCCTTTTATATAGGGACTGTCCAGTTTGGCCGATGTACATAGCAGAGGGGCATTGCTGGCCCATGATGGCGTATATTACATTGGGGGATGTGCAGGTGAATGAACCGGTGGTGGCGTGGCTGATCTGGTTAGGTCCTGTGATGGTGTCACTGGTGTAGATATGTGGGCAGAGTTGGCATCGAGGTTTGTTGCATGGATTGGTTCCTGAGTTAGCGTTACTATGGTGCGATGTGTAGTTGCTGGTGAGAATATGCTTCAGGTTGGCAGGCTGTCTGTGGGCGAGGACTAGCCTGCCTCCCAAGGCCTGTGAAAGTGTGGGATCGTTGTAGATCACTGATGATGCGTTGGAGAGGTTTTGGCTGAGGACTGTATGTGATGGCCAGGGGAGTTCTATTGGTTTCTTTCTTGAGCTTGTCTTGCAGCAGGAGGCTTCTGGTTACACGTCTGGCTCTGTTGATCTGTTTCCTTATTTCCTCGTGTGGGTATCGTAGTTTTGAGAATGCTTGGTGAAGATCTTGGTCTCTGTCTGAGAGGTTGGAGCAAATGCGGTTGTTCCTCAGCGCTTGGCTGTAGACGATGGATCGTGTGGTGTGTCTGGGATGGAAGCTGGAGGCATGAAGGTAGGCATAGCGGTCGGTGGGTTTTCGGTATAGGGTGGTGTTAATGTGACCGTCACTTATTTGCACCGTTGTGTCTAGGAAGTGGACCTCCCGTGTAGATTGGTCCAGGCTGAGGTTGATTGTGGGTTGGAAGCTATTGAAATTGTGGTGGAATTCTTCCAGGGTTTCCTTCCCATGGGTCCAGATGATGAAGATGTCATCTATGTAACAGAGGTAGAGAAAGGGCGTGAGTGGAGGAGAGCTGAGGAAGCATTGTTCCAGGTCAGCCATAACAATGTTGACATATTGTGGGGCCATGCGTGTGCCCATAGAGATGCCACTGTTCTGGAGGTATATATTGTCACCAAATTTGAAATAATTGTGCATGAGGATAAAGTCACAGAGCTCAGCAACCAGTTGTGCTGTGGCATCATCAGGGATACTGTTCCTGACAGCTTGTATTCCATCTGTGCGTGGGATGTTTGTGTACAGAGCCTCTACTACATTCCTGGTGGCTAGGATGGTGTTTTCTAGAAGCTCACCAATGCATTGTAGTTTTCTCAGGAAATCAGTGGTGTCACAGAGATAGCTGGGAGTGCTGGTGGTGTAGGGTCTGAGTAGAGAGTCTACATATCCGGACAGTCCTTCAGTGCCAACATTTTTATGGCTGACCTGGAACAATTCCACCACGATTTCAATAGCTTCCATCCCACCATCAACCTCAGCCTCGACCAATCTACACGGGAGGTCCACTTCATAAACACCAAGGTGCAAATAAGTGATGGTCATGTTAACACCACCCTATACCGAAAACCCACCAACTGCTATGCCTACCTTCATGCTTCCAGCTTCCATCCTGGACACACCACACGATCCATCGTCTACAGCCAAGCGCTGAGGAACAACCGCATTTGCTCCAACCCCTCAGAGAGAGACCAACTCCTACAAGATCTTCACCAAGAATTCTCAAAACTACGATACCCACATGAGGAAATAAGGAAACCGATCAACGGAGCCAGACGTGTAACTAGAAGCCTCCTGCTGCAAGATAAGCCCAAGAAACAAACCAACAGAACTCCACTGGCCATCAGTTTGGCCCTCTGCTATGTACATCGGCGAAACTGGACAGTCCCTATGTAAAAGGATAAATGGACACAAATCAGATATTAGGAATGGCCATATACAAAAAACTGTAGGAGAACACTTCTATCTCACTGGACACACAATAGCAGATTTAAAGGTAGCCATCCTGCAGCAAAAAAACTTCAGGATGTCCCTGCTTCTCCTCCCAGTGCTTGCCAAAACTGTTTTGCGGCATAACAAGCTGTGGGAGGATGGAGGGGCAGAAATGTGGCATGCCCAGGGAGCAGGCAGGGAAGAGGCAGGGCCCGGGTGGGGATTTGGTGGAAAGGAGTCCAGTGGGGGCAGGGAGGAAGCGGAGTGGGGGGTGGGGGGACTTTGGGTAAGGGGTTGGAATGGGGATGGGGCAGGAGTGGAGTCAGGTCAAGGCCGAGTGGGGGGTTGAGCACCCACCGGCGCCAAGAGAAGTTGGCACCTATGCCCCATTCCACTGAAATATGCTGACTATGTGTTATTCCAGCTGTGATAAATGAGAGTGGGGACACCCAGCCAGCCAGTTGGCTATGGAATCCCTCTTGGTGGTTGTTCTCTACTTGCTTTACCTGTAAAGGGTTAACAAGCTCACAAGTGAAAGAAAAGGAGTGGGCACCTGACCAAAAGAGCCAATGGAAGGGCTAGAACTTTTTAAAATTGGGGGAAAAACCCCCCCTTCCCTTTGTGTGGAGTTGTTCTCTGGGAAAGAGGGGAGCAGTTATGCTGTGAGAAGTTTTAAGCCACGTATGAAAAACCATCAGATCATACCTAAAGATTGCTTATCTGAAACCTCAGAAAAGTAAGTAAATTAGGGAATGTCTAGGAAGATGCGATTAGGGTTATTTCTTTTATTGGCTTGTGGACTCCTCTGTGCTAACCCCAAATGTTTTTGTTTGCTTGTAACCTTTAAGCTGAACCCCCAAGAAAGCTAATTTGGGTGCTTAATTTTTGGAATTGCTCTTTTAAAATCTAGCAATAGCCTGAGTTTTCAGATGTATTGTCTTTCTTTTTGTTTTTAATAAAATTTACCTTTTTTAAGAACAGGATTGGATTTTTGGTGTCCTCAGAGGTTTGTGCATATGTTGTTTAATTAGCTGAGGGCAACAGCTAATTTCCTTTGTTTTCTTTCTCAGCTCTTCCCCAGAAGGGGGTGGGTGAAAGAGCTTGAGGGTACCCCACAGGAAGGAATTCCCAAGTGTACCTTTCTGGATTCAAAAAAGGCGGGTTTTGCATTTGGGTGGTGGCATCTGCCCATCCAAGGTCATACAGAAGCTGTAACCTTGGGAGTTTAATACAAGCCTGGAATGGCCAATATTAATTTTTAGAATCCTTGCAGGCCCCCACCTCTGCACTCCAAATACCAGAGTGGGGAATCAGCCTTGCACCAGCTAACATGGTTTGCTTTCAAATTTAAAAAGGTTAAAAAAAAGTGCTGAAATGGCAGAAATAGTTTTATGGGTCAGTTTTCAGAGTAACAGCCGTGTTGGTCTGTATTCGCAAAAAGAAAAGGAGTACTTGTGGCACCTTAGAGACTAACCAATTTATTTGTGCATAAGCTTTCATGAGCTACAGCTCACTTCATCGGATGAAGTGAGCTGTAGCTCACGAAAGCTTATGCTCAAATAAATTGGTTAGTCTCTAAGGTGCCACAAGTACTCCTTTTCTTTTTATGGGCCAGTGTATAGTACAAAATATAGAAAAGAGGAAACAAAAGGAAAATACGTCTCATAGCCTACACACTATACTGATTAGTGGTAAACAAACACATATGTAGCTGGCTTGCTAGATCAATCAATTACAGGTAAAAATTCATTTCAGCAGAGGATCCAAACAAGAAAATTTTGTCTATATGTTAGCATGAAGGGCCCGTTTACTCTGGCCTTGCATAGGGGTGAAGGCAGTACTGGCCCTGAATTTGGAGCTAGGAAGATGACCCAACAACAGCCATTATGGAATGGATGTTGAAGGAATGAAGGGGAAAAAGTGGGAAGGAAAAATGTCATTAGACCTCTGTAAATTGGGCCCTGGAAAGTTTAGACAGTGCCCTCAAAGACAGAATGCTGATTGGTTACTGCTGCAGGCAGAGGTTACCTATTGTGAAATATAGTAGCATGGAAAAACAATGAGGACTTGAGTTGGGTAATGTATGACGTAACTGTAAACGTATTCAGCTTTTCCTAGAAATGACTGTAATAGGGAGGAAGGATTTCATTTTTAACAACTTATTAAACTAAACAGGCAAACCCATATTGAGACCTGGTGTAAGCTGGGAAGTGATGCCTGCTTACATCAGGTCTGAATGTACTTGGAATATTTATTTGATCTTTGCATTTATTTCATACACCATAGTATCTGAGCACCTTTGGTTTGTAAAAATACTCTCTGAAGAGTTTTAGTTTTCTAAAAAGTTGTAATATTTTGGCATAATTTGGTGCTGACATAAGTCCTAATTTTTTCCACAGGGGTGCTCCAGCCCCAGAGAACCCACGGAGTCGGTGCCTATGCCCTAGACACTGCCAACACACTCTTATCAACCTCCTGGCTCCAGTCTGTACCCACGGCCTTCCACTCTTCCCCCGTCACAGACCAGCACTACGGACTCCCAGTATCCACTGCACTCAACACCCATCCCTCCATAGTTTGGCCCTGCTGAAGTACAGTACCTGCTGCAGTACAGTACCTGCTGCACTGTAATCCAAGGGAGAAGGCTGGTTACGATACCTGGACATACACAAATCTTCAGCCATCCCTGGACCCCACCTCCTCCTGGGACTTTCCCTTCCCCCATCCCCCTCAGTGCTGATGTGTTTTTTTTTTTGTTTGACTCTCTCCTCTGGTTGTTGTTTTTTAATAAAAATTGTGTTGGTTTGAAAGCAATCTTTAGTCTATTAATTGAAAGCAAACAGAGTCCTGAAAAGCAACAGACAGTTATGTTAAACCTTCATATTGCATCGTCTGCACCAATCACAATCCTCCTAGCATTACAAGCAGTGCACTCCCGAGCATAGCAACAAATATTAGTGGCTTTCAGCTTCAAATTGCTGCCTCAAGGTATCCCTGATCCTTATGGTCCCACGCTGTGCCCCTCTAATAGCCCTGGTCTCTGGCTATTCAAACTCAGCCTCCAGGCGCTGAGCCTCAGTGGTCCAGCCCTGAATTAAACTTTCATCCTTCCCTTCACAAATATTACGGAGCATACAGTACGCAGCTATAAGCATTGGAATATTGTCATCAGCCAGGTCCAGCTTCCCATATAGGCAGCGCCAGTGGGCTTTTAAACGGCCAAAAGCACACTCAACAGTCATGCTGCACTTGCTCAGCCTATTGTTGAACCACTCCTTGCTGCTGTCAAGTTGCCCTGTGTGTGGCTTCATAAGCCCTGGCATTAAGGGGTAGGTGGGGTCTCCCAGGATCACAATGGGTATTTCAACTTCCCCTACGGTCATCTTCTGGTCCAGAAAGAAAGTCCCTGCTTGCAGATTCCTGAACAGGCCAGTGTTCCAAAAGATACATGCGTCATGCACCTTTCTGGAACAGCCTGTGTTAATGTCTGTGAAACGCCCATGGTGATCCACGAGCACCTGGAGAACCATTGAGAAATACCCCTTCGGATTAATGTACTCAATGGCTAGGTGGTCTGGTGTCAGAATTGGAATATGCTTGCCATCTATCGTCCCTCCGCAGTTAGGGAAGCCCATTTGTGCAAACCCATCGACAATGTCACACACGTTTTCCAGACTCACGGTCTTTCGGAGTAGGATGCGATTAATGGCCCTGCACACTTCCGTCAACAAAAGTCCAACGGTCGACTTTTCCACTCCGAACTGGTTAGCGACCGATCGGTAGCAGTCTGGAGTAGCCCGCTTCCACAGTGCAATTGCCATGCGCTTCTCCAATGGCAGAGCAGCTCTCATTCTTGTGTCCTTGTGCTGCAGGGCTGGGACGAGCTCATCACACAGTCCCATGAATGTGGCTTTCCTCATCTGAAAGTTCAGCAGCCGCTGCTCATCATCCCAGACGTGCATGACTATGTGATCCCACCACTCAGTGCTTGTTTCCCTAGCCCAAAAGCGGCGTTCCACTGTGGCCAGCACCTCCGTGAATGCCACAAGCAATCTTGTGTCGTAGCTAGTACGCGTGGCAAGATCAATGTCGAACTCCTCTTGCCTTTGTAGTTTAAGGAATAACTCCACTGCCACTTGTGACGTGTTAATGAGAGCAAGCAGCATACTGGTCAACAGTGCGGGATCCATTCCTGCAGATCGAAGAGGCAGAGCTTGTTAGGGGGCTTATTCCTTCACCCACTTACTTCCCTGGTCCTTCTCACATGAACAGAGAGCAACAATACCCGAAGTCCAAAGGTGCAAACAATTCGATGTTTATTAGGGTGAACTTCCAGCAAGCATGATTCCAGTTTCCTTCCTTAGTGTCCCCGTTCCCAGCTCTGACACCACATAGCCTTACACCTGTGTCCCTGTTCCCATTCCTGCCCTTAGCCAAACATGATTCCAATGTCCCCACCCCCATTCCCTGTTCCCATTTCCCCCTTTAGCAAAACATGATTCCAATTTCCCCACCCAATTCCTGATTGACTGCAGACTATATAGTAAAACTTGAGTTCTGCTTAGCTATACCTTAACCAATCATTTTACTGAAATTTAACTAACCAATCCTAACATATTGTAACATGATTATGTAACCAATTATATCCCACGACCTTAATTAGTTTACACCCAGCAAAATTAATTATACAGCGGACAGAAACAATCACAGAACCAGACAGAGATTATACAGACAAACAATGGCAAAGTGGGAACTATAATGACAAAACAATACAGAAGTGAGGATTTCACATCCCAGCTACTGATAAGTGAGTTCTTGCCAGACAGGATGCTATCAAACTAAGTTTTCTTTTACATCTTCTAGGCACTTAGAATCATAGAATATCAGGGTTGGAAGGGACCTCAGGAGGTCATCTAGTCCAACCCCCTGCTCAAAAGCAGGACCCATCCCCAATTAAATCATCCCAGCCAGGGCTTTGTCAAGCCTGACCTTAAAAACTTCTAAGGAAGGAGATTCCACCACCTCCCTAGGTAACGCATTCCAGTGTTTCACCACCCTCCTAGTGAAAAAGTTTTTCCTAATATCCAACCTAAACCTCCCCCACTGCAACTTGAGACCATTACTCCTTGTCCTGTCCTCTTCCACCACTGAGAATAGTCTAGAACCATCCTCTCTGGAACCACCTCTCAGGTAGTTGAAAGCAGCTATCAAATCCCCCCTCATTCTTCTCTTCCGCAGACTAAACAATCCCAGTTCCCTCAGCCTCTCCTCATAAGTCATGTGTTCCAGACCCCTAATCATTTTTGTTGCCCTTCGCTGGACTCTCTCCAATTTATCCACATCCTTCTTGTAGTGTGGGGCCCAAAACTGGACACAGTACTCCAGATGAGGCCTCACCAATGTCGAATAGAGGGGGACGATCACGTCCCTCGATCTGCTCGCTATGCCCCTACTTATACATCCCAAAATGCCATTGGCCTTCTTGGCAACAAGGGCACACTGCTGACTCATATCCAACTTCTCGTCCACTGTCACCCCTAGGTCCTTTTCCGCAGAACTGCTGCCTAGCCATTCGGTCCCTAGTCTGTAGCTGTGCATTGGGTTCTTCCGTCCTAAGTGCAGGACCCTGCACTTATCCTTATTGAACCTCATCAGATTTCATTTTGGCCCAATCCTCCAATTTCTCTAGGTCCCTCTGTATCCTATCCCTGCTCTCCAGCGTGTCTACCACTCCTCCCAGTTTAGTATCATCTGCAAATTTGCTGAGAGTGCAATCCACACCATCCTCCAGATCATTTATGAAGATATTGAACAAAACCGGCCCCAGGACCGACCCCTGGGGCACTCCACTTGACACCGGCTGCCAACTAGACATGGAGCCATTGATCACTACCTGTTGAGCCCGACAATCTAGCCAACTTTCTACCCACCTTATAGTGCATTCATCCAGCCCATACTTCTTTAACTTGCTGACAAGAATACTGTGGGAGACCGTGTCAAAAGCTTTGCTAAAGTCAAGATACAATACATCCACTGCTTTCCCTTCATCCACAGAACCAGTAATCTCATCATAGAAGGCGATTAGATTAGTCAGGCATGACCTTCCCTTGGTGAATCCATGCTGACTGTTCCTGATCACTTTCCTCTCATGTAAGTGCTTCAGGATTGATTCCTTGAGGACCTGCTCCATGATTTTTCCGCGGACTGAAGTGAGGCCGACTGGCCTGTAGTTCCCAGGATCCTCCTTCTTGGCACTACATTAGCCTTTTTCCAGTCATCCGGGACTTCCCCCGTTCGCCACGAGTTTTCAAAGATAAAGGCCAATGGCTCTGCAATCACAGCCGCCAGTTCCTTTAGCACTCTTGGATGCAACTCGTCCGGCCCCATGGACTTGTGCACGTCCAGCTTTTCTAAATAGTCCCTAACCACCTCTTTCTCCACAGAAGGCTGGCCATCTATTCCCCATGTTGTGATGCCCAGCGCAGCAGTCTGGGAGCTGACCTTGTTCGTGAAGACAGAGGCAAAAAAAGCATTGAGTACATTAGCTTTTTCCACATCCTCTGTCACTAGGTTGCCTCCCTCCTTCGTTAAGGGGCCCACACTTTCCTTGGCTTTCTTCTTGTTGCCAACATACCTGAAGAAACCCTTCTTGTTACTCTTAACATCTCTCGCTAGCTGCAGCTCCAGGTGCGATTTGGCCCTCCTAATTTCATTCCTACATGCCCGAGCAATATTTTTATACTCTCCCTGGTCATATGTCCAACCTTCCACTTCTTGTAAGCTTCTTTTTTATGCTTAAGATCCGCTAGGATTTCACCGTTAAGCCAAGCTGGTTGCCTGCCATATTTACTATTCTTTTGACACATCGGGATGGTTTGTCCCTGTAACCTCAACAGGGATTCCTTGAAATACAGCCAGCTCTCCTGGACTCCTTTCCCCTTCATGTTAGTCCCCCAGGGGATCCTGGCCATCCGTTCCCTGAGGGAGTCGAAGTCTGCTTTCCTGAAGTCCAGGGTCCGTATCCTGCTGCTTAGCTTTCTTCCCTGTGTCAGGATCCTGAACTCAACCGACTCATGGTCACTGCCTCCCAGATTCCCATCCACTTTTGCTTCCCCTACTAATTCTTCCCGGTTTGTGAGCAGCAGGTCAAGAAAAGCTCCCCCCCTAGTTGGCTCCTCTAGCACTTGCACCAGGAAATTGTCCCCTATGCTTTCCAAAAACTTCCTGGATTGTCTATGCACCCCTGTATTGCTCTCCCAGACACTTCCCTTTCTCTGGAGGCGATAGTCATTATCAGGACAGGATTGTATTCCTAACAGCCCAATAGCACCTTATTTCAATGTGACTAGGTTGGAATGTGAGGATGTGACCGGTCACTTCCCAGCTTATGGCTGCCTCTGTTGTTTAGCCAGAGATCTCAGCCTAAGAACAGGGCCTCAGACTGTCACAGTAAGAGAAGGACCTTACACTGGCAGACAGTGATTTTGATTCTTTCTTTCATACCTCTAACTAGTCAAGTGATAAGAATACACCTACATTCTTAGAGTATAGGCCTTTACAGACAGGCCTGAATATCTATATCCTAACAGAGCTCACAGTACACAAACTGTTGAAAGATGGAGCCAAATGCAGATGGAAGCACAGGGATTGCTGGGATGGGAAGTAATGCATCATAGGGCATTGGGACAGGACGTAGGATGCCCCGCAACCCCCTCCGTCTTCCCACAACTCTTAGTGGCAGAAGAGGAAGAGATGCTCTGTGGGATAGCTGCCCAGAGTGCACTGCTTCGAATACCACTGCAAGTGTGAACATGCTATTGTGCAGGTAGATGACAGTGTGAACACACAACAGCGGTTTCCCTTCAGTACTCTCTGAGTGGTGCTGTAACTCTGCAGTGTACATATCTTGAGAGTCTTGTATAATAAAACTGTCTACTATTCCCTAAACTGGAAATAAAAGGGGCAGCTTTTCAGGCACTGGCTTCCATTTTTGTAACCACAATTCTCTGGGGATACAACTTACGTCAGTAGTGTCAGGAACCATGGAACTGAGTTTCCTCAACAAAGCCTGGGGCTAGCCAGTTTAGCCTTTAGGCAGGTTAATGAGCCCAGCTGGGCTTCAGCAAAACTGCCAGATTGTCTGGCCTGCTTGATTGGCTAAAAGGAGCCTACAGGTCTGGATTTAAGCTCAGCAGCACCAATACCAATGTGTTTTCAGCTGTTCAGTGCTTATGTCTACAGCTGTGAGTGGGCCTGGCCTCATTTTAGTATGTCCTAGCCAGCCCTCCCTCCCTCCTTGCTTCTGGCTCTGGTCACTGCATTTGACTCTTGGCTTGATTCCTATTTCTTGACTGGTTGCAGAGTAACAGCCGTGTTAGTCTGTCTTTGCAAAAAGAAAAGGAGTACTTGTGGCACCTTAGAGACTAACCAGTTTATTTGAGCATGAGCTTTCGTGAGCTACAGCTCACTTTATCGGATGTCTCTAACCCCTAGGTCAGAGCACCCACACCCTGGCCTTGACAAGTAGAGCCCCAATCCTGCTAATTATTATGAATGACTAGATGCTTTGCTTGTCCTAAATACTTTGCTAGATTGGGGCATTAAACTGTTAAGTATCTGATTATTTTCACAAATCACCTAGTGTGAGTACAAATAATGGGTAAAAAATGGTTGAAAACCAGCCTCCAAGTGCAAACAAGGCTTCTGATATTTTTTTTGCCCATATTTTTGTGCACAACTGATGTGCCTTTGGCTCCAATGAGATACTTAAATCAATGGGAATTGTCAGAGCTCAGCATCTCTCAGACACAGGTCCTTAGTAGTTTCAATAACTTATTTGAAATGTGTACAGCAGCTTAAGGGTGGGATCCATTAGGGGACTTAGGCAGTACACCGCTGTGTGTCAGGTGCGCCTAGAGAATCACAGGAACAAAACTGTGATCTACAAAGCCTGAAGAAAAGGAGTACTTGTGGCACCTTAGAGACTAACCCATTTATTTGAGCATGAGCTTTCGTGAGCTACAGCTCACTTCATCGGATGCATACCGTGGAAACTGCAGCAGACGTTATATACACACAGAGATCATGAAACAATACCTCCTCCCACCCCACTGTCCTGCTGGTAATAGCTTATCTAAAGTGATCATCAAGTTGGGCCATTTCCAGCACAAATCCAGGTTTTCTCACCCTCCACCCCCCCCCCCCCCCACAAACTCACTCTCCTGCTGGTAATAGCCCATCCAAAGTGACCACTCTCTTCACAATGTGTATGATAATCAAGGTGGGCCATTTCCTGCACAAATCCAGGTTCTCTCACTCCCTCACCCCCCCTCCAAAAACCACACACACAAACTCACTCTCCTGCTGGTAATAGCTTATCCAAAGTGACCACTCTCCCTACAATGTGCATGATAATCAAGGTGGGCCATTTCCAGCACAAATCCAGGTTTTCTCACCCCCCACCCCCATACACACACAAACTCACTCTCCTGCTGGTAATAGCTCATCCAAAGTGACCACTCCCCCTACAATGTGCATGGTAATCAAGGTGGGCCATGTCCAGCACAAATCCAGGCTTTCTCACCCCTCCCCCCCTTTTCCCGGGGACACACACACACACACACAAACTCACTCTCCTGCTGGCAACAGCTCATCCAAACTGACCACTCTCCAAGTTTAAATCCAAGTTTAACCAGAACGTCTGGGGGCGGGGGGGTAGGAAAAAACAAGGCCTGAGTTAGGCTCCTGTACAGTACAATGAATGGGGAGACATAGGTGCCTCAGAATGCGGTCCACAAAAGCCAGCATACTAGGTGGGGAGCCATAGGTGATTCAGGGCTGGAACACCCATGGAAAAAAATTAGTGGGTGCTTAGCATCCACTGGCAGCCATTCCCTCCTGCCTGCAGGTGGCCCCACCGATCAACTTCTCCCCCTCCCTCCCAGTGCCTCCGACCCACAACAATCAGCTGTTTCGCGGTTGTGCAGGAGGCTCTTGGAGGAAGGGGGAGAAGTGGGGATGGGGCGTGCTCAGGGGAGGGGGCAGAACTGGGCAGGAAGGGGTGGGGACTTGGGAGAAAGTGTGAGGTGGGGCGGGGCCTGAGGTGGCGTGAGGGCAGGAACAGGTGGGGGCAGAGGCCTGGGGTTGAGCACCCCCTGGACCCAGCGGAAGCCAGTACCTATGCGGGGAGCGGCCTAAGATAGCCAATGGAAGATGCTGAGAGGCTAAGCCCTGCCCCATCTTGGAGATAGGCACTCACTGGGCTGCAGAGAGGCACCTAGTTCTGCTTAGCAATCCATGAACGGAACCCACCACATGAAGGCAGGCTGCTTAGGCGTTTTTGTGGGAAAGAGTTAGGCAGCTGTCTTGCTTCACACAGAATGACCAAACATGGCTCCCACCTTGTAACTTTTAGCCCACTGGTTACAACACTTGCCTGGGATGTGAGAGACCAGGTTAAATTCTCTGCTATCTGGTAGAGGGAGAGAAAAGATTTGAACAGGGCTCTTCCACCTCATAGGTAGGTGTGCTAACCACTGAGCTACAGGATATTCTGATGTAGAGCTCCCTCAGTCTCTCCTGTTGAAGCTGTTCCACTGTGCCTAAATTGTTAACTAGCCATTGGGCTAGAGAAAGAGGGACTGACTCTGTAGTTGCCTGATGATTCAGGTAATCGCTTGGGTGGTGGGAGATCTTGGGTCCAGTCCCCCTATTTCACTCTGTCATTATTTATTCACAGTAGAACAGCTTAAACGGGAGACACTGAGGGCAACCCACATCAGCATTTCCCATAGCCCAGTCATAAGAGCACTCACCTGTGGTGGGGAACCTATGTTCAAACACTTTCTCCCCGGATTGCCTGAGAGGCGGGGGAGGGGAATTGAACCTGGGTCTCCCACTTCCTGAGTGCTCTAACCACTGGATTAAAAATATAAAGTAGGTACTACCATCTCCTTCTCTGAGTAGACCCTGAATGGAACCCAATCCAGTAGGCAAACTCAGAGACTGCGCATGATATAGGTGGTCAAACGCCTGTCTTCTCCTGGTTTGTGATTTGCTCTGGGTCTTAATAAGCAGAAGATAAGTGTTTGGACATCTAGAGGAAGGAGGCAGTGTGGATGCTCAGAGGCAGAAACTTAGGCACTGAGAAAGCTTTTATCCTGACAACTTAGGCTATGTGTTTAGGCACGTACAGGGTTCGGGGAAGTTGTATGGCTAGCAGGGGAGCCAAAACTGGGTGCCGAAGTTTTGGGCTATTTCTCAACAGGAAGGTTTGACCAGCTTGAAGAAAACACAATTTACAGAGAACCCAGGATAGACGGAAGCTAATAATTGATTCAAAACACTTATGGACGTGCAGCCATGCACAGGCACACACAGAATCTGCACGAACCAGTCAGGATTTCTGGCTCGCTCCCCACCTCTCGTTTGTCATGAGGGGCCATATGTTTTCACACCTGGCACCCACCTCTGTACAGCTACATTGTACTCATGACTGGAGGATAGATCCATCGATGGCCATTAGCCAAAAGGTGGCTAGAGCCGTAACCCTTCGCTCTGGGCATCCCTAAACTTCCAACTGCTGGAAGGGGGGAGTGGACAACAGCAGACGGATGGCTTGATAACTGCCCTTGTTCTGTTCATGCCCTCTGAAGCACCAGCGGCTGCTAGACACCATACTAGGCTAGATGGACCATTGGTCTGACTCAGTATGGCCCGTCTTCCTTTGTTGCTCGCCCCCGATGAGCTGGTTTTTAAGTGCGTGCTGAGGAACGGAGGGAGGGGAACAAACAAAAGAGCAGGAAGGAGGAGGCTGCAGGGCTCACTGGGGGCAGGCTCCCTTTGTCGCGAGCCGGGTTAACAAGGACACCAAGGCAGCGTAGGGCGAGCTGGGGGGAGGACGCAGGTGCCAGCCTGGGCAGAGCCTTCCAGGCACAGGAGCGGAGCCTGAGGGGCACGCGCCGGGGAACCGGCGGCCAGCGCCCGCCCGCGCGCGACGCCGCCAGCAACGGGGGACCCGAGGCCAGGGCACAGCGCGGGGCGGGGCGGGGCGGAAGGAACCACCTCGGCACCCCGGAGCGGGAGGGGGGCAGACGGGAGGAACCATAAACAGACAAAAGGATTCGGCGGCTCTCTGCGCCGGGGGCGCTGCGGCGCGTCTATGGTGCTGGAGGACTGAGGGCTCGCCCCGGAGCGGCGGTTGTTGGCGCTCGGCGGCAGGATGCTGGCCCGCGGGTGAGGGCCCGGAGCCGGGCCGGGGCCGGGGCCGGGGCCGGGGCCGGGGGGAGGACGAGCTGCTCCAGGGCCACAGGCCGCTCCGCCCCGCCCCGGGGCTCGGCAGGGGGCCGAGCGCGGCCTGTCCTGCGCGCCCGGGGCCGGGCAGCGGAGCCCCCCGGGGAGCGGCCGCCGCTCTCTGGCCCCTGGGTGCCCGTAGGGAGCCCCTGGGCTGCCGCTCTGTTGCGCGGGGGGCACCCGCGGCCCGTTGGCGGCGCTGGCGCCGGAGGCCCCCGGAGCCCGAGGGCCGGAGCCGGGTAACGGGGCTGCAGAGGGAGCCGCCTCAGCCGGCGCTCGGGCACAGTTCGGGGGCGCTCCTGCGCCCGCCTGGTTGTGTTGTGCCGCGTCCCTGTGTGGGGGGCGGTCCCTGGTCTCCGGTCCCCAGGCCACGCTGCTTCATGTGAAAAAATCAAAAAGTAAATTTTATTCCCCCCCCCCCCTCCCCTCACTTGTAAATTCCGGATGCAACATTATCGTCGGCTCCGCTGACGTCTGTGCTGCACGGATCGGCTGTCAACATCCCAGCGATGCACTAGCGAGCTTTACTCTGTAGCTCTCGTGTAAAGGGGCACGACCCGGTTCAACTACACAGACCTGATTCTTGCACGGTGATTCGGCCGCGTTTTACAGATCGCTACACTGTGTACGAGGCAGTGAAGAATCGGGCTACATAGATATTAAACTAGCTGCTTTACAAATAATTCATTAAATAATTGAACTTGAAAAATGCATTTTTTTGCATTAATGCTAGTTGCTTTTTTATTATTATTTCACTCATCTTAGATCATGAAAATTGAAGAGTTGTACTGTCGTTTCCAGTATTTAACTTAATTTTGCAGTTCTGGACTATCATAAAGCTGTACTCCTTCAGTTGAAAAACACTGTAGAGGAATGTTTAAATCCAAGCAAGCTGTTTTACCTGAAATGCAAACAAACCAAACAGGCAGATTTTGAATCCTTTTCTAGTAATGCTTGGGGCTAAATTCTGCCCGAATTTGTACCCTGTTCAACTCTAGTGATGCCAATGGGCTGAGCCTGTACATAGCGTCAGTGAGGCCAGAATATGGTCTTAAATGTTATAACATTTTTTTCCTCCTAAAATACTTGCCATTGTACTTTAAAATCCTGTAGAAATGTGAACTGAGTTAAGCAACAGATCACCTGTGGGCTGTGCTGATAGAAGTGTCTGTTGGAGTCAGAGGCTGTTTCTGCAGTAGGGGATGTTAAAAGAAAGTTTCCACCATTACCACTGGGGCAATTCTTAGTGCAGATGAGATTTAGTGCAGTGGTCCCCAAACCTTTTATATCTCACCCCCCCCTTACCCATGTCCATGCCCCCCTGGGACCCATGGTCAGGAGCTGGGGCCACGGTTGTGGCCAGCGGCTGAGGCTGGGGCTGGAGCTGCGGCCTGGCTGGAAGCCAGGGGCAACAACTGGGGTGGGTCTGGGGCTGGGAGCGGGGCCAGGTGTGGAACTAGGCCTGGCTGCGGTCGGGGGCCAGGGCTGGGAGTGGAGCCGCGGTCGAGGTGTGAGGCTGTGGGTGGGGCCATGGCCAGGACCGGGAGGGGAGCTGCAGCTGGGCCATGGTTAGAGCCGCAGCCAGGACCCAGAGCCGCAGGTGGGGTTGGGCTGGAGAAGAGCTGGGGGCAGAGTGGAGCTGGGTGGTGCTCCCTCCCTGCCTCCCATGGGGGCTGGCCCAGGCTCCTAACTTCAATTGATTTCAGTGTTGAGCATCCACCCTAATGTTAAGCAACTTGCAATCTGTGAGACTGTGACCTGAAATGACATAGCTTTTTCACTGGGAATATCAGTAAGCCTCCTTTGTTGTTTATTTTACTTTTCCAAATTAAAACTAGAGTATTATTGCAATACAACAAAACTTTTATTTCAGTGAATTTTACTTTTCCCTATTAATGTTACAGTAAATGATTTAAACCTGGGATTTGCAACCTTTGGCCCGTGGCCCGCCAGGGGTAAGCCCTGTAGCGGGCTTGGCCGGTTTGTTTACCTGCCACATCTGTAGGTTCAGCTGATCGCAGCTCCCACTGGCCACGGTTCGCCGCTCCAGGCCAATGCGGGCTGCGGGAAGCGGCAGCCAGCACATCTCTCGGCCCATGCTGGCTGCTGGTAAGTCCCCGGCCCGCCAGGGGATTTACCGTGGTGGGCCGTGTGCCAAGGGTTGCCGATCCCTGATTTAAACTCATGTTCACATCTGTAAAAATATTAGGTATGTCCAAGAATCCCAAAATGATTTAGAAGTGTTGCTATACCTGTTTTACAAATGGATAAATTGAGGCCCAGAGACATTAAGGCCCAGATCCACAAAGGTATGTAGGATCCTAATTTCCAACTGCAGTCTCTGCCAGCCAAGCCCCTTTAAGGTGCCTCAGATTGGGAACCTAAACTCATGAGGCACTTCTGAAAATCTTGGCTACTGTTTATGTGCTTCATTGGCAGCTTCTTCCAAACAATGTTATGAAAAATTCAACAGTTCTTTCTGTGGAGAAACAACATACATGATTTGGCTTTACTTTTTTTCCCCTTTCTCAAAATATTTTTACCATACAAGTAATGCAAACTTGGTCTCTTTTACTAATTCTCTGCAAATGTCAATTTGCCATTTAGCCAACTCCATCCATAATATGTTTAAACTATTGCATTGCTTTTGAAAAATAATTCTATGAAAATGATGAAATGAGTCTCTGAAGTAGTGTGTACGTTTCTCATTTGTTTTCACTGCAGTAATTTTGAATGATGCTTAATTCCTTTCATGTCTGCAGATGGTGTACTGTGAGGAAGGCTCCTTCTCTTCTGGCTAGGGCACTGACATCCATGACTAATGGTTTCCAGTCTCCTCCAGACATGTCTGAAGGTAATATAACTGGTTGAATTTTGGAAGATCATGTCATTAAAGGGTTTTATTCTTTCCTTTATACTGTTGAAAAGCACTGTCCTTATCAGTTACTAAGCTTAACTAGTTTAACGCTTTAATAATAAAATGTTAGGACAGTATATTACCACCTTAATCAAGCATAAAGCATAAGTAAAGTAGATAGAGCAGGATAATGTAATGATAATGTTTGCCTACCTATACCCCAGGACTAGGTGTTTCTGGCATCTGGTCCAATCTGGTATAAATCCTGCATTGCTCCACCTCCGTTTGTTAAACACACATTCTTTATACCTTGTCCTGTGACATTGCATGGGTACAAATTATTTAACCTACCTAATCTGCAAACATTCCATTCTAAATATGTTTTCTAATAGAGTTTTAGCAGAATAAATAAAAAAGTAACGGGTACCTCCTTAGCTATCTTTTATTTAACCATTGCTTTCATGTGTTCATTATTTCTTTCAACTGTTGTTTTATTGTTACTTATCTGTTTCTTATGGCTTTGGGGTTGCTGACTAGTTCTGTTCAGTCAGTATTTATCCTCCCCTAATCTGACTTGCTTGTATCTATCTAGAAAAATGATACATTGCCTGTTTCACTTTGCCCAGTTATCTACACAGACCAAGAATCCACTGTAGATAGGATGCAAACCAACTTTCTGATGTCTTTTCAACCTTTGAAAGCTATGTCAACAACACACAGAGAAAGCAGAAAAGTTCCCTTTTTACATATCTACTTCTCTAACATTAAATACAGTATTTTAATACAGTTCATTGTACTTTTCTTTCTAATACTCACATGCAGCTCCCATTAAGGAGAGACATGGATGTATTGTAAAGAGTATATCCCTTAGTGTAGTTCATATTATTTAAGACATGGTTTCTGAAAGCGTCTTTTATGTAAAATTCTTGCACATGTGTTGAACTAATGATAAAGCTGTGTGAATGCAGCATACGGGTTCAGGGTATCTGTGGTCCTTTTTTCCTGGAAAACCAGAAAGCTCATGTCTCTTTTTTGGGAAGGTACCTTTCCTTTTTCTCTGATGATGCCTTCTGGATGGAGAGTAACTGTAAGATGGGGACATATGGATCGTAGGGGAGGATGGGCAAGAAGAGTACAAAGTGAGGAATAGAACTGAAATATCCTCCAAAAAAGCTGTGAGTTTTTATACATAAGAAATTATACAGTATATGAAAATCCTTTAATCAGATCAGAACCATGGATTATGAAAATGTACGTCAGTATTATTTTATATTAAAATACTGTTTTTAATCAGACTTATAATAATAAAATATGAAACATGAAGCATTAATGTTTTAATTTTAATACTAAAGTAAATGCAAATAATAATTACGATTAGGCAGCCCAAAAAGGAATTTAAAAAGCAACTAGCAAAAAGACACAAAAACTAACAGCAATTTTTTTTACGTACATCGGAATCAGGAAGCCTGCCAAACAATCAGTGGGGCCACTGGATGATTGAGGTGCTGAAGGAGCACTCAAGTAATACAAGGCCATTGTGGAGAAGCTAAAGACTTCTTTGCATCCGTCTTCACTGCAAAGAATATGAGGGAGATTACCAAATCCCAGCCATTCTTTTTAGATGATTTATCTGAGCAACTGTCATAGATTGAAGTGTCAGTAGAGGAGGTTTAGGAGAAAATTGATAAATTAAACTGTAATAAGTCACCAGGACCAGATGCTATTCACCTAAGTTCTGAAGGAACTGAAATATGAAACTGTAGAGCTACTAATTGTGCAATGTAACCTATCTGTTAACTCAGCCTCTGTACCAGACAACTGGAGGATAGCTAATGTAATGCTCATTTAAAAAAAAAAGGCTCAAGAGGCAATCCTGGCAATTACAGGCCAGTAAGCCTAACTTCAGTGCCAGGAAAATTGGTTGAAACAGTAGTAAAGAACACAATTATCAGACACATAGATGAACATGATAAGTTGGCGAAGAGTCAACACAGTTTTTGTAAAGGGAAGTCATGCCTCCCCAGTCTATTAGAATTCTTTGAGCATGACAACAAGCATGTAGACAAAGGTGATCTGTGGATATAGTGTACTTGGACTTTTAGAAAGCCTTTGATAAGGTCCCTCACCAGAGGCTCTTAAGCAAACTAGGCAGTCATGGGATAAGAGGTAAAGTCCTCTCATGGCTCAGTAACTGGTTAAAAGATAGGAAACAAAGGTTAGGAATAAATGGTCAGTTTTCATGGTAGAGAGAGGTAAATGATTTTTACTGAAATATGTTCAACATATTCCTAAATGATCTGGAAAAAGGGGTAAACAGTGAGGTGGAAAAGTTTGCAGACAATACAAAATTACTCAAGATAGTTAAGTCCAAAGCTGACTGTGAAGAGTTAAAAAGGGATCTCACAAAGCTGGGTGAGTGGGCATATGTGTGATTCAAAAGCTTGTCTCTCTCACCAACAGAAGTGGTCCAATAAATGATATTACCTCACCCACCTTGGGCAAAAAAATGGCAGATGAAATTCAATGTTGATAAATCCAAAGTAACGCACACTGGAAAACATAATTCCAACTATACATATAAAAACAGAGAAGATTAAGGTTGGAAGATACCTCAGGAGGTCATCTAGTTCAACCCCCTGCTCAAAGCAGGACCAATCCCAACTAAATCATCCCAGCCAGGGCTTTGTCAAGCTGGGCCTTAAAAACCTCTAAGGATGGAGATTCCACCTAGGTAACCCATTCCAGTGCTTTACCACCCTCCTAGTGAAATAGTTTTTCCTGATATCCAACCTAGACCTCCCCCACTGTAACTTGAGACCATTGCTCCTTGTTCTGTCATCTGCCACCACTGAGAACAGCCGAGCTCTATCCTCTTTGGAACCCCCCTTCAGGTTGTTAAAGGCTGCTATCAAATCCCCCCTCACTCTTCCTTTCCGCAGACTAAATAAGCCCAGTTCCCTCAGCCTCTCCTCATAAGTCATGTGCCCCAGCCCTCTAATAATTTCCGTTGCCCTCTGCTGGACTCTCTCCAATTTGTCCATATCATTTCTGTAGTGGGGGGCCCAAAACTGGACGCAATACACTAGATGTGGCCTCACCAGTGCCGAATAGAGGGGAATAATCACTTCCCTCGATCTGCTGGCAATGCTCCTACTAATGCAGCCCAATATGCCGTTGGCCTTCTTGGCAAGAAGGGCATGCTGTTGACTCATATCTAGCTTCTCATCCACTGTAATCCCCAGGTCCTTTTCTTCAGAACTGTCGCTTAGCCAGGCAGTCTCCAGCCTGTAGCAGTGCATGGGATTCTTCCATCCAAAGTGCAGGACTCTGCACTTGTCCTTGTTGAACCTCATCAGATTTCTTTTGGCCCAATCCTCCAATTTGTCTAGGAGTCTTAATTAGCTGTTTGACTCCAAGATCTTTTGCTTGAGTGCTTTGTGGCTAGTTCTCTGAAAGGATCTGCTCAATGTGCAGCAGCCGTCAAAAAAGCTAACAATATTAGGAACTGTTAGGAAAGAGAGAGGTGATAAGAAAATATCATAATGCCACTATATAAATCAATGGGATGCCCACACCTTGAACACTGTGTGCAATTCTGGTTGCTCCATCTAAAAAAGACACGTTAGAATTGGGAAAAATACAGAGCAAAAATGATTAAGGATTAAGCTTCCATATGAAGAGAGATTAAAAAGACTGGGTCTGTTCAGTTTAGAAAAGAGACAACTAAAGGGGGATATGATGGAGATCTATAAAATCATGAATGGTGTGGAGAAAGTGAATAAGGAAGTGTTATTACCCCTTCACATAACGAGAATCCAGGGTCACCCAATGAAATCAATAGCAGTTTTAAAATAAACAAAAGGAAATATGTCTTCACACAATGCACAGTCAACCCATTGAATTTATTTCTAGTGGATATGGTGAAGGCCAAAAGTATAACTGGATTAAAAAAAGAATTAGATACGCTCAAGGAGGATAGATCCATCAGTGGTTATTAGCCAAGATGGTTAGGGACACAACCCCATGCTCTGGTGTCCGTAAACTTCTGATTGCCAGAAGCTGGGAGTGGACAACAGAGGATGGATCACTTGATACATTGCCCAGTTCCCTTCATGCCCTCTGAAGCATCTGGCATTGGTCATTGTTGGAAGAGACAGGGTACTGGGCCAGGTGGATCATTGGTCTGACCCAGTATGGCCATTCTTATTTTTTAACATGTACATTAAAATAGAACAAAGAGCCTGAAATGAGACACAAATAATTCCTCTGAGATTCTGCTCGTGTCTGATACTATCTAATCCTTCAGTCATTCTTTAAATAGAAACTCTCATTTGTACTAATGACTCCGTTATTTATTGTGAGTTACTGAATGTTGGAGATTTGTGTTAGTAAATGAGCAAACATAATTGAGGGGTGGGGAGGAGGGAAAGAAAAGCAAGGATACTGCATGTTGTATTTAATGCAAATTGTACTTTGTTCATTTATTGTGATTATAATTTTAGATTTAGCTATAACAGTACCAGCTAGTAATACAGTACATTTTTGTAAAAGCTTCTAGGGGCACTCTGTTATTGTTGGTTTACTGAAAAATGGGGAGCAATTGATGGTTTGTATATTATAACACTTACTGCTTAGTGAAGTTCTACTCTCAACCTGTAACTTTATTTGCTTGTAAAAACACCATGCAGACTTCTGTTGCTACCTCTAAATAACTTGTCCTTCTTTCATTCCCATTCGCTATATTAATCTATTTTTCCATGCTGTTTCCTAAGTGCTGAATGCTCACCCCAACTTGTTTTTCCCATACCACTGACCTCCATTCAAATCCCTTCTGTTTAAAAAAAAAACAAAAAAACAAAACTCATTTCTTCTTTATCCTCACAAGAGGTGAACCAAACAACACAGTAAAGATCATCCTTCCCCCCCCTCCAAAAAATACTCCATGTTATTCCTTCCTCTGACCTCCCTATTGCATCCTTTCTTCCTCATTTACATCTGTTGAGGCCTTGATCCTTGGGGCTGCTCACATGTGTCAAGTTAAGCATGTGCATAGATGTTTGCAGGATCAAGGCCATAGATTGTAAGCTCTTCTGGGCAGGAAGGGACTATTGTCATTATTGGTGCTTAACAAAAATTAATATTGACAGTGTTTGCCAGCAGCAGGTTTTCTTGTTAGCAAATGACTGATAAATTAATTTGAAATGTATGGTGGCAGCAAGTATTGTACACCAGCTTTTAGTAGAGACATAAACTGTATAGCTGTATATTTTTGACTGTATGTGAAGGAATGGATTAACCTAGCTGAGTCTGACATATAGATATATTAACTGCAGACCATGTAACTGAATGAAGACAAGTTGCTTACATTTAGATACTAATGTGCATGTGCAAAGTGGAATTTGAAGGGGAAAAATAACCAGACAACCCGTGATTAGAAGTATACTCTTTCCCTTGTTTTATGGTGGTACTGATTATCTAACTTGTTTTTTCCACTCCACAGGACACTTACCCATTCATGTGAATAATGGTGTGTGGTGGTAATCAGCATGCATTTTAATATTTACAGAACCGCTTCAAGCCTATCTTGCTACTCTCTAACTTTACTTGAGGATTCATGAAAAACAAAAACTAACATTTTTCTCTGTCAACTTTCACAAGTCATCCCTGTGGTCATCAAAACTGTTAACTGTGATATGTGAATGGGTCTAGTTTTATTGGTAGAAATATTGTCACAAGACATATATACAATGTGCTGATTGATATAAGGGCATGATAACTTGCATTTTTAAAAAATCTGTGGGTAATAAAACCATTTATATTTTAAGACACAAATCCTGCAGTTCTTATACATGTAAATCTCTCAATAACATAAATAAGAATTTTGCCTAAGTAGGGATTGCGGGATTTGGCCCAAAAAGAAGTATGCTCAAGAAAGCCCCTGGAATAAGATTTTTCCAACTTAGGTGCCTGAAGTCACGCTCCAATATCTGTATTTAAGAATGTAAGCAGCCTGACTTTTGAAAAGTTTTGAGTGCCCACATCCTCCAATGAAATCAATAGGAATTGTAACTGATTAATACTCTTGAAAATTCAGGTTATTTATTTAGGTCCCTGAATATGGGTTTAGCAGCCTAACTTTAGCGACTCAAGTTTGAAAATCTTTGACTTGGTATTTGAAGCAATGTTGATCATTTAAAGATGATCAGTTCTTGTCTGCTTTTGTTTAAAGACCCAAGCCAACATTTTCAAAGTTGACCACCTAAAGTTAGACTCCTAAAGCCTCATTTAGACATCTAAATAAAAACTTTGATTTTTCAGATGTGCTGAGTACCTGTAACTCTCACGGAAACCAATAACAAGGTCTGCTTAAAAAATGATTGTGCAATATGGCGCTTTTTTGGAGAATACTGAAACTCACTTGAAACTAATGGCAAGCTTACTCTCACTCTTAATGGAAATTAGATTTCAGTGCCTCCAGTAAATCATGTTAACAGCCTCATCCTCTGATTACCTTCACATTCTCTAGGGCAGTGTTTGTCAACCTTTTTGATTCCAGGGACCGGCTTGCTGCCTTCCTAAACTTCCTGACCTTGTCTACACTACAGGTTACTTCAGTATAATTTACGGTGTTCAGGGGTGTGAATAATCCACACCCCTGAGCTATGTAAGTTATACCGAACTAAGCACCGATGTAGACAGCACTATGTCGGTGGGAGAGTTCTCTGTGCTGATAGCAAACTATTTTCAGTGCTCTGGTCTCCAAAGATCCCATTTCTTGTGCATTGTGTAAAAATCTCTACATGCACTGAAACACTGGGGTTTGTTTTCCTAGATGCCGGCTGTCTCTGAGGCTACTTTAAATTTCCATCTGTTCAAATTGGAAGAAATCTGGATCTTGATACCATCCCTTGTAGAGCCACCTCAGCTTTCACTTTCATTGCTGTTTACAATATTCTCTCTTGACCTGAGAACTCATAGTATTTTTATTTATACTAAACAGCTTTAGTGATTTTTGTTTTTTAAAAGTTAGAAAACCTTCTGTGGTTTGAGTGAATACTGTTACAGTGGAGCTGTAATGAAGAGTTGGAAACTGATGTAGGATTACTTTATTAGTATGCTATAGCAGGGATGCTCAAACTTTTGTATAGTATGGGCCATGTGGTCATATGGATTGACTCACAGGAACCTCCCCTTCCATTCGTGATCTCATAACATTTATGTCACAAATAAAGCAATTGCTTTCATGGATGGTTTACTAATATTTTATACTGCTAAGAGATTAGAGTGTATAATATAACAAAATAGTAAATCAAGTATGGAAGTTTAGGGAGCGTTATCTCTAATTACTTGAAAGCCTGTTAAATGAAGAAGGGAGTAGATAGGCTACTCTATCTTTTCTTACTTTTCTCACTATAGACTTTTCTCACTAAGCAAATTCTGAAATACTATTTGGTTTTAAATCTGTAAATTATAATGGATTTGGTTTGCTCAAATTTTGATAATATTCATTATGCATATTTTCCTTTTACATTTTGTGTAATCAAAGTGAAAGTACTAAGCTGTCTACCCTACAAACGCTTGTGCATTTTAAATCTGTAAATAGTTGCACAAAAGTGATTGGGACTACTTGCACATGTAAATCTTTGCAAGATTGGGGATTAAGTCATTAATAGTTTATTGCCTCACTCTCTTTACAATTAGAAATGGCTACAACTTTCTCTTCAAATCAAGATACAGAAATTCTGGGTGAAAACATTTATTTTTCTTTCAGTTTGGACAATAGTACAGAAATGAGGCCTTTTGTAGATGCTGTGATGGTGTTCATTCTAATGCTGCTTTACTCTAATGGATATTAGGGCAAGTTCACTGCTGGCTCCAGGAGTGGAATTTAATTGACTTCAGTGGAGTAGCTCTTATATAAATAGGTCACTGATGAGGCTTAATTTAATTTAGTTAATTTTTAAGCATTTCTTTTGATTAAGGTTTATTGGTGTAAAATTAGTCATGGAATTGGCCTTAATCCAAAATCTACTTTTGATAATTGTTAATACAAATAGCCTTGAGTGTTCAGTCTGGAATGTGCAAAGCAAGATGATGTGTAATGATTTTAATTTGCCTTGTATAAAAAATGTGAAGGATCAGCTGCTGTGCTATCAGTGGCTGAATCTGTCTTGCTTGTGTTCTTTATATAACTGTTCCCTGATGTGTCCGTAATTCTGTCTTCATAATTTAAAATCCTCTCTCTCTTCCTTCATAAGGAAAATCTTCAAAAAATCTTCATAAGGAGGCAAGGTTGCCCTGCTTGTGTAAACTGCTTCATGTCATTAACTGTCTGAAATTTATGAACTGTTGCTGCATGAGTTCAGGCACTGAAGACACCGTGCATATACCAAACTAAAACTCAAAGAGTAACCTAGATTTGAGAAGACCTAGCATCAACTTGGCAGTTCCAAATGAGAAAAGAACAGAACCATTAATCTGCCTCTTCACCCCAAATTTAAAGAAATCTCACATTCTCCCACAGATGCTAGAGCTTTTTCAGTGGTGCAGGCAATGGTAGAAGTACTATTGACTGCCTGTGTGTAAGCCCAGCTGAGAGCTGCGTTTCTGCATCAAGGGAGATGAGTCCCTGCTTGCGAAAGCAAGTATGCTGACATTGCATGTCTTTGTTTGGAAATTATTGATTAAAAAGAGAAATCTTCCTTTTTTCCTCAGCTGCACTGTTCCCTTTTGGGTTTGTCTTGCCTCTTGTCAGTCTGTGAATTAGCCAGGATTTGTTTGTGTTTAGGTTGAAATGGCCCCATATTCTAATTCCCCAGGTTGATAATTGATCTGCCACATTTTTTCAGTTATTTAAGGCGCTAACAACTTTTGCATTTGCATTAGTAAATTTTCTGAAGGCATTTTCTGTTGGTCCTTGCTGTACACAACTGATTACAGAATATGTTACTAAAATAGAAAGAATCCAGATTAATTACATTATTAAACTGTGGAGAGTCTAGTTAACTCATCTCAAGATCATGATATACCTACTAAAACCAGCAGTGAATTTGGCCAACAATTTCTGGTTTTCTAGCCACTGTTTGCATGACTTTGCTTGATCTTCCTATTCTTGGGATGAAGATTGTACCTTTTAGCATCAGGCAACTTCACATTTGTCACTTGACTGATTTGCTTTGATTTTGTTTCAGTGCGAAGCAGATTGAGGGCTATAGTGGGAGCTTCTACCAACTGGAGGTACAGTGTACATGAATGTATTTTTCTTTCATTTCTGATACCCTTGAGAGAGCTCACTTTCACAGCAATGGAGGTTAACAGCATTGTACAGCTAACTTGTGGGGAAAACACCTGGCTAAGGCTGGAAGAAACAATGAAAACTGAAGGCTTCTGAATTCTAAATTAGTGGCTAAAGTTTGAGGTGGCAGCTTGTGTAGACATACCTGAGTTAGCTTTGGAACCAGAACAGTGAAGCTACAGCAGTGCATGCTTAAGTGCTGGCTTGCTTTGTAAATAATTACCCAGGGTTCTGGGCAGGCTTGTACTGCCCACTTTGAAGCACGTGCCATCTCATCTTCACTGCTCTGGTACCATACTAGCCAGATTAAGCTAGCTAAGGTATGGTTACATGAGCTGCAATTATACCTATTGATTGCAGTGTAGATATACCCTAAGTTTGTTGTAATGAAATTTTGGTTCATGAATCTCTTGTGGAAATCAGTGCCATTTTACATTACAAGATCAGTTTTATACAGCTATCTTGCTTGTACGTGTAGGGTTTATAGTATTTTTGAGATTAGGAACACACTCTTCTTACCCAGTGAACTGCAAAAATTGAGAGACTGTTTACATCAACTCTATTGTGCTGTTGTGTGTATAAAATTATTAAATATATTTACATAATCTAGATTACGGATATGATTCAACATGTCAAAGTCAATAGAAACACACTGAATCATAGAATCATAGAATCATAGAATATCAGGGTTGGAAGGGACCTCAGGAGGTCATCTAGTCCAACCCTCCGCTCAAAGCAGGACCAATCCCCAATTTTTGCCCCAGATACCTAAATGGCCCCCTTAAAAATGTGAATGGCCCCCTCAAGGATTGCATTCACAACCCTGGGTTGAGCAGGCCAATGCTCAAACCACTGAGCTATCCCTCCCCCACATTGACTTCAATGGGAGTTGGATCGGGTCTTAAGATTCTTGTACGTCTAACTTTAGGGCTGCATGTACTGGACCACAGAACACATGCAAGATTCTCCTCTACTTAATGGCTGTTTGTATCAATTTTGCTGATGTGAAAAGTTTACAAATGGCTTTTATAATGAGTGATACAGGAGGTTGGACCATTTCGGAGGAAACCTATTATAATATTAGATGATAGTGCTTGATCAGATGTTTAGCTAATTCAGAGATACAAGATTTCCTTTCTGTGAATGTTTGTCACCTAGCAGTTGATACGTGGATGGAGTATTTGTATAATATTTTAAGAGTAGTACTTCAGAATTTAAAAATATTTGAGAAATATTATTTCCTTATAATATGGTATAGACAGCATAACCCCTAATATTTACATCTGTGTATATGGAATTGTGAATTTTTCTAAAACTTTTAGGGGTGAAAGCCTGGCTTCCTTGAAGGCAATAGGAGTTCTGCCATTGACTTCAAAAGAGACTTTAATATGTCTATTAAAAGTGCAATGTAGGAGTAAGGTGAAGAACAGAATATAATTGGATCTCATTGTTCAATTCCTACATATTTATGGACTGTTGAATTTGCACCTGTGACTATCAATTTCATTTAGATCGCTCCTTTAAAATTTTGCATCTTCCGTGAAACGTTTCACTGATAGTCCAACCCAGAGATAAATCCACAGAAACTAAAGAATAGAACATCTTCACTTAGCAATCTGGTGTATTCCATGTCTGTATAGCTGTCTAACGTAAACCCTTTGGGGTAGGAATTGTAACTTCTTATCTGCTCTGTGAACTCTGATAAGCACTAGAGCTGGTCAAAAAAATAAGTAACATTTCACAATATTTTTAAAGCAGTGAAAGTTTTTCATTTCACTCAAAATGTTCTGTGAAATTTTTGGTTTCTTTGATTAAAATGTTTAATCTTTTAATATTTTTGAAAACATTTCAAAATAGGTTTCGGTGAGGGAAAAAGCTCTCTCTCACTCCCCCCCCCCCCTTTCCACTGGAAAACAGAGGTAGAGAAAGTCCAGTTGTTTGAAAAAGTGTGGGGTTTTGCATTTGAAAAGGCATTTTCAGTCCAAAAAAACCACCCCAAACTTTTGTTAGAAAGTTGGGACCAACTCTGCTATGCACAATGGTGCATAGTACTGTATTGTAACATGCACAAAGGATCATGCTGCACATGTGTGAGTGGTAAAGAATTGTGAGGAAAAAAAAAAAGTTTAACGTGCCTGGTCCAAGGAACAGGTTAGTGTTTTAGAGACTATTTTTAGCATTATATGTGAACTCTCATAGGTTTAACAGATTTAATACCCATTTGTTATACAGATTTGGTATTGACTCTAGAAGAGTTATAAAATATATGCTTTCTAAAGTTAGGTTGCACTTTTAGGAGGAGGGAACTTCTGAGGCTCATGTAAGGAGTGATGTTTGGAGCAAGAGTTTTACTTGCCATCTGCATCTCTTCAGGGAAGTAAGGTGGGATGAGGTGTCTCCTTATTCCCCTGTACAGGCTATTTGCCTCATGGATGACAGCGTTGTGGGAAGAGCACCCTCTGCAGGAGCAGTGTGCCTTTTTCTGCATAGATGGATTGGGGAATGGGTAGATTTGGTGTTCACCTTCCATCAATGTGCTGGCCAGCACAGGTGAGCTGGTCTGGAGTGGAAAGTAAACTGCTGTTGGCGTAGCACATTGGCAGGTTACTTCTCTCCTGGAACAAAGTGCTGGCGGGGGGGTATGGAGAAGAACTGAGGAGGGAATAGCAACAGAGTCATAGTTCCCTCTCTGGTCTCCTTACTCGAGGCAGATTGTAAAGTGATAATCTGGACCTAGTAAATTTAACAGATTTGTTATGTTGGAAGAATTGGGCTATAGTAAATGTGAGCCATAAGAATCTGTACAAAAATCATTAGGTTAAATTATGTTTTCTTAAAATAAAGTATTTGAAATCAAGTTGTTCTTTAAAGCAGTGCAGGGTTTTTTATAACAGCTTTGCATCATTTAGGATTGGACATATATTTTTATTTAATTATTTAACTCTCTTGTACAAAGTATGCTATTCTATTACAGTTTCTTTGATAAAACCATCACATCCTGTTCATGGGTTTGCACATAGTTTGCACATAGTTTACTTGCTTTTAACATTTCTGATTGTGATGTGTTGTATGTCTCCTCTATTTCTCTCATGACATGTGATCCCTGGTATACTATATATATTTTTTCTGACTGCTGCTGTTTTTTAAAACAAACAAACAAACAAAAACCAACAACATTGATCTACAGCATGGCATATTTTGAGGAGAGCTGCATCCTGTATTCTGCTGATGTTCTCAATTTCTTTTCTTCCCAGTGACCATGTGCAAGCAATGCATGAAAGAAAAGACCTACATATTCTATTGGCCAAACAGCAGGAAGACTTGCCACCTAGGAAGATGAATGATAGCTACATAGAGGTTATTTTACCTCTAGGAAGTCAACCTGAATTAAGAGAAAAATATTTGAATGTACATAACAGCGTGAGGTAACAAGGCAATCATTTTATGCATATGGAAAAATAAAAATTGCTTTTTTACTGTTAATGTAGTAGTTGAATTCTCTTTATTTATGTCCTAGATTTGGAAGAATTCTTGAAGATCTTGACAGCTTAGGAGGTATGTAACTATACCTACATTTAATGCAAATCTACTGTTACTGTATTAGAACAAGAGATAGCAAATGTCTGTTTGAAGATGTAGCTTCTGTATTGTTTGGAATGAATTACGTCAGAACAATATACAGTAAAAGCTTTGTTATCCAGCATGTTGGGGAAGTGGGGGGTTCTGGTAATTAAAAATCCTGGATAACTAAGAGGGAGGGAGTTTGGGTGCGGGAGGGGGCTGGAGCATGGGAGGGGTTGCGGGGTGTGGGCTCTCGGAGGGAGTTTGGGTGAGGGAGGGAGCTTGGGGCAGGGGCACGGGGGCTGCCGGATCTGGCCGGCGCTCACCACAGGCAGCTCCCCACAAGCGGCGACATGTCCCTGCTGCTCCAAGGTGTAGGCGCCCAGCTGCACCTCCGCCTAGGAGCAGCAGGGACATGTTGCCGCTTGCGGAGAACTGCCCGAGGTGGGCACTGGCTGGATCCGGCACCCCCCACCACTCCCGTGCCCCTGTCCTGAGCCTTCCCTCACCCAAACTGCCTCCCAGAGCCCACGCCCTGCACCCCCTCCTGCACTTCAAACCTCACAAGGCTGTTCCTCCACCTAGGAGCAGCAGGGACATCATGTCACCGCTTCTGGGAAGTCCCATGGGGCCATGTAGGGAGCCTGCCGACCCCGCACCGACCAGACTATAAACCGCACTTTCAATGAAGATCAGAAATGCCAGTTTATAAAGCTTTCTGGCTGATAAAGTGCTGGATAACACAGCTTTTACTGTATTACACCGATGTGTTCTGTCTGTGAGGATGTGCAACAACCTCCAGAAGAACAAAGAAGTGAAATCTAATACAGTTGGAAGAGAGGAAAATGTGATAAGGAGTAGCCAGAGGCAGAATAGCTCTGCTGCTTGCCTATGCCAAATTTAAAGAGTAGCATGCAGATAAATGTTCCTAAAAGAAGGTAAAGCCCTACTGGTTTGTTTTTGATAGGATGGGAAGCTATGATGAGAAATGCTCTTGGGAAAGAGCTATCAATTTTTTTTTTCCTTAGTGTCAGGAGTTGTTGGAAGTCATCCCACGAGTTGCAAAGTTTAGCCTGGTGTCTTTGAAATAATTGGAGCCACTGATGGGAATACCAGAGGGCATGAGGATCAGGAAAGCATGGAATCACAGACTAAGGAGTGATCAGCCATGCCAACTGGAATAGGGACTTCTTATTGGATTTGGAGCTTGCCAAGCGATTGTGCAGCAGCCTCATCAGCAAAGAGCAGAGCCTTCAGACTACCATCAAATCTGGTCAGAGAGCAGTCATCGGTTTTGTGATGCTATCTGTCTCTGGCTGTGACCCCAAGTTGGGGCCTATTGTTGGCCCCCAGTATGCAGGCTGGTTTCACATTGACCCTGGCCTATTCAAATTGGTTCAGAAGGGCCTTGGAGTGGTGTGGCAAATCAAAGCCAGGGACACGTGTCAGGTCAGTTATAAGAGACCGGTTTCTGATGTCAGCTGCAGATCATTTTTCATGCCACTTCAACATCAGAGAAATCTAGGGAGGGCAAGTGGGTCCACAATGGGTTCCTTGACAGCAAACGCGCTCTTGGGTGGTCTTGGGTGTGTATAGTGGTAGTCTTGGGTTTGCTCTGGCCTTCTCAGCCGTTCTGTCTGTAGCAGCCTTATGATGTATGTGGGGAGCTGGTGTCCCTGAACTTTCTCTAGAGGCATTAGGTGGAGCTGGTATTGGTTGAATCTTCCCATTTATGATGCTCATGGTTGAGTATAGTTATGTGTCAGCCGACTTGAGGTGAGACAAATGGAGCCAGAGTGGGGCACAGTATTCTGCTGCAGAATAATAGAGGGCTATACCAAATATCGGAGAGTTTTAGCATTTGCTCCTCATGAAGTACTGGCCAATTTGACTAGAAGGTTATAATGCGTCGTCACCATAGCAGTTTTCCTCAGGTGATTAAGATATATGAGCTACCTATCGAGGGTTACCCTGAGAGAGACTGGTGGCATTTGTCTTTCAAACAATGTCCATTGGGAAAGATACTCAGTTTTTGGGCTGCTCTGGCATTGCAAAGATGGGAGCAGCAGGAAGATCTGAGATGATGAGAATTAAGAAGATGCTTTGTACCTTTTCTGTTAATACAAGAACAAGAGGATACCCAATAAAACTGAATTGCAACACATTTAAAATTGATAAAAGAAAATACTTTTTACACAATACATAATTTTTACACAATACATAATAAATCAGTGGAACTCACTGCCACTAGATGTCATTGAATACAAGAGCTTAATAGGATTAAATAAAGAATTAGACATTTATAGGAAGAAAATCTACAGTTACATCGGGCAGGAAATAAAATTAGAAGAGGGAGTCCTTCATGTTTCAAGGCATAAACTAACCACTAACTGCCTGGAATTAGGAAAAAAATTCTCCAAGAGGCAGGTAATGGAGGTCCCTTTTTATAGATGTTTTACATTTTCCACTGAAGTGTCCTGTCCCCAAGAGTGGCCAGTACCAGGACTGGATGGCTCACTGGTCTGACTTGATATGGCAGTTCCTGAGTTCTGGAGAGATTAATGAAAGAGCATAAGAAGTGTGTTTCTCAGTCGGATGCTTGAGTTATGGCGGACAGTATGCAGGGTGGAAAAGGAAGGAAGCAAGGTATAGAAATTCATATTAAACTCAATGTTTTTCTCTCTTAAAAACAGCAGGAGATAGGGTAGTTTTGTCTGAGGAGAAAGTTGAAAAGTGGGAAGAGGTAATGGGGTTTTCAGTAGCAATTGTCTAGTGTGGAGAAATTGGAGCTGTTTGGCATGGGAGTGAGACCACATATATAGCAGTCCCTGAACTTTCTCTAGAGGCAGTAGGTGGTGCTGAGATGCAGGAGAAGCCTTTCAATCAGACCTTGCTTTTACAAATCGGCATTGAAGCACTAACAAGGAACCTGGCTCCGTAGCTCAGAGGTTAGAACATTGGCCTTGTAAACGAGGGGTTGCAAGGTCAATGCTTGCTGGGGCCTGGATACCCTGTCTAGGACTGTCATCTCATTGCTTGTCAGCCAAAACCAACCTCCACTCTGTGCTGAGGGTACTTGGGATGTAGCTCAGGTTTTAGAGCAGGGGTGACCAGCCTGAGAAGGAGCCAGAATTTACCAGTGTACGTTGCCAAATATAAAGTAATATGTCAGCAGCCCCACATCGGCCCTCCCTCCCCCACCGCTTCCACCCACTGGCAGCCCGCTGATCAGCACCTCCCCCTTCCTCCCCGTACTTGCCAATCAGCTGTTTTGTGGTATGCAGGAGGCTCGGGGAGGGGGAGGAGTGAGGGTATAGCAAGCTCAGGGGAGGGGTAGGAAGGGGTGGAGTGGGGGCAGGGCCTGTGGCAGAGCCAGGGCTCGAGCAGTGAGCACCCCCCAGCACATTGGAAAGTTGACATCCGTAGCTCCAGCCCTGGAGTCGGTGCCTATACAAGGAGCTGCATATTAACTTCTGAAGAGCCACATGTGGAGCATTTAAAGACATTGAGATCCTAATCTTTTGCTTTGCAGCTAAAAGAGGTGGTTTGTTGCTGATAGAAGTGTGGGAACATATTTGCACTCAAAATGATACCAGACAACTGCTGTATTTGTATTCATTCTGCCCAGCGTATAAAGGTTTTGGTTCATGAAGGTCATATACCTAATTATGAAATATTCATAGCTGTGGGAACCAATTTTCATGTGAAGACGTAATGTTTTGAAACCATGCCACTCTTCATCAGGTGAATGAGCATCACTAATATTTTGATGGCCTTGAGCAGTTCAGAATAGAAAGCTGTGTGAAAGCTTAGTTCCAGTGAGAGCTTTGAGTTGAATTAGACTATTTTCAGCACGTTAACTGGCTGTTATTGAGGTCAGTGCGAAGTTTGGCACTTCTGCAAACTCTTACGTCCATGACCATTGGCCACCAAAGTTTGTTAATGAGGACACGATCAATAATAGTCCTAGTGAAACCATCCGGTTGGACCAGGTTTGCTTGTGAATCTTTAGGTGGCAGAAGAGTGAGTCAGCAACCACCATGTCATTGGCAGCTGCAGATTCCAGCCGTTGCTGCCCATTCTGTTCTGCTGCCCATTCTGTTCTTCTCCCCTATACCAAATTTCCTGAGTGTATTTCCCTGGTGTTGTTAAACTTTCCTGTCTTCCCATTAAAGTTGCCTGGGGTCATGAGAACATGTTTTCTTGGAGTTTCATTAAGAGTTGCACTCTGTTGCTGGTAAAAATTATCTGCAGCTTCGTTGTTGGCCTTGGTAAGATGTCCACAGCCAGTAAGGAATCGCACTCCGATAAGTCACTCATTAATTACTCACCAACTCTGCAATGCCCATCAGGCATATAAGTACAACGGCCACCCTTTGCTGGAGCAATCCATCAGGTCAGCCTGAGAACAAAGGAGTGTATAAGCAAGAAGCAGTGCGCAATGGTCTAAGTCCCTGACCAGTACCATTAAGCAGCTCCAACTCCAGATTACAAGCTGCTCAGTATTAACCTGTCTGGGTGGGATATCGAGCAGGTAGCAACTGTCAAAAACTAGGGAAGCATCATAAACAGTGCTGGGGGATGCTTCAAAGATGTGGATGCTCATATACAAGTAGCTGGCATCATGTTCCAGGCCCTTCAGTGGCTTCTGTAGAGCTTGCTGCAAAATTATTGCTCTGTCGAACCATGATTATACCATCTGTGGTACAGCAGGGACACATAGGTGGTGATGAAGGCTGAAGAGCACCAGATTTGTTGTTTTTGAGTCTAGTCTTCATCAACAGCTCCATGGTAAGCATCAGGACAATATTAGCAATGAGGATATTTGTAGCTGAACCCAGCAATCACCTCCATTAACACTGGTTCAGTTTTGACTGTTTTCTTAGTTCAGACATGTTATTAGGATGGAAGACCAACAAATTACAAAGCATATGTACCAAGGAATGCGGCTTACATGGCTGTCAATCACTATGGCACCCAAAGCTTTAGAGGTGCAATAAGTTCACTACTGATGGACATAAACTGAATATCCAGCCAGTTTGTCTTATGAGCCTAATTAGAGATCAGTCTGGGTGGCACTTGATCTTGCATGGAGACTACATACCTTTGGGATTTGTTTTGTTGATGATAATGTTTAGTATGTTATTTTTTCAATGTCCCCTGACTATGAATCCTGCCAATAAGCTCTGAGGGCCTGCCAAACTGTTATTTGTCATCTGAGAGTGACAGTCCTTATATCACCAGATCTTTGCTGACCATGCTTATACCATGACTAATAACTTCAAGATTTTTCAGTGGTGTGGTGTTCTTGACAGACTTTGTGGAAGAAGCAAGTGAAGATTGTACATGTTCTCTCTCACATTTTCTGGGAAGGTAGAGATACTTCTCTTTAAGTTCAGTACTCCTTTTCCGTTGATCCCCACATAAAGTGCAAACAAATATGTTTAGGGTATGTCTGTACAGCAAAAAAGGGTGTGTTCTTAACGTGGGTTAGCTGTCTCAGGTTACAGTAGCAGTGAAGATGTGGCAACTTGGCTTTTAAGTTGGGTTAGGAGCTTGAATTAAAGCCTATAGGGGAGCCTGGGGATGAACTCAAGCTGCTAACCTGAGTTACTGCTATTTTAACTAACCTGTGTTAAGAACCAACTTTTTTATTTGCAGTGTATGCATACCCTCAGTTACAAAAATCTCCATCAAGTCAAAACAGTATAAACACGTAAAATGATCCAGTGCAATGTGAAATTGATCTAAGGAGTGGTTATACTTGAATGATCAGACCAAATTAACTTGCTCTGGTGGATAAAGTTTTGTAAGCAGATTAAGTTACTTTAGTCATTAACCCTTCAGGATGTAATCTTGTTTGTCCTCAGTTTTGTTTGAACTGTACATGTGCACTACATTTTGTATCACAATGGCTACATTGTGAAGCTTGTTCCACTCTTTAAAATCCCTTTTAAAATATATGGAGAACAGATAACTGACTACCTCTTTGATCTCTCCACAGTTCTCATTTGTTACACTCACACCAAACATGAAGCTTCTCAGAGATCTCCTTTGTCAATTGTTACAGCCCTGGTGGATAAAATTGGTAAGTGGTCATTTGATCAACTAAAAAATGATGGTCTATTCTATGAACACTTAGTAATTAACTGCTTATCTCCAGCAGAAACTGATGTCTTTCTCCTTTGTTTACATGAAATCATTTGTTGCTAATTCTGATATGTTGCATTTTTTCTTAGATACTATTCTGCCTTTTCTGATGCCTTTCCTTCCAAAAAAGTGAATATTTCATGTTTCACACGTTTCTGTATTCAATTTTGCGTCAGTCAAGTCAGTCTTGTAGATATTGACAGGCCAGAGTTGCTTGTCTTCCAAGAAGGAGGCTTATGGCAGTGTGACTCAGCTTTGATTTTGTACAGTATGTAACCCAGTACACTAATGGTACTTAAAAATAATAACTTAGCTCTTATATAGCACTTTTCATCTGTAGATCTCAAACTGCTTTATAAATGTCCATATCATTATCTTCATTGAACAGATGGGGAAACTGAGGGACAGAGAGGTGAAGTGACTTGCCCAGGGTCACCCAGCAGCCTAACAGGAGAGCCAGGAATAGAGCGGAGTTCTTCCCTTTTCACTGTATATATAATCTATTAAACCATTTTTAAAAAAGGATTAATTGCAATTGGCAATTACGATGACCTGCTGCCATCTTACTGAAAAGTGACACCAACAGTGTGTGAGTCCATTGCTGATGATTCTAAACCAGAACTAATCTTGATTTAATACCAAAATAAATTTGCTGTGTGAACAGGAAACACTGTGGCCCTCATTCTTTACCACATCAGAGCTGTATTTTAGGTTTGTCTGCAGGGAGCCAGTTTTGGGGATACAGGGAAAGACCGTTACACCAGTGGAGGATGGTGTGTAGTGGAACTTTACTGTAGCCGGGCATGCTGCTTCCTTCTGTGTGCTGCCTTCACCTGCTTCTTCCCCTTATACTGGTGTTAGGAGGGGTGGCTGGTATAGAAGCTGGTTGAGCTGCCTCCACCAGCAGAGCGTTGCCCTGCCCTGGGTACAATATTGATTGGTCAGCTCTAGCTGTATTTTAAGGCCACTTTGTGCTGCATACTCTGTGTGAAGTGGCCTAGGAGAATCCTTGCTTTTTAAATATTAAACTTCAGTTATCTTGTTCTAACACATTGTCATGTATATTCTAGATTTGTGCAAGAAGGTCATATACCCAGATTGTGATATCAAATTCACTGGAAATGTTTCTTGGGTTGGGAAGACCTCAATGGAAGTGAAGATGCACATGTTTCAGGTTGGGGCTCAGTGACTTCTATTTCTTCTATAGTGGAAAACTCCCTTCATGTCTCCCAAGATACCTTGGACACCTCCAGAAGGAATTTTGAGTGATAACATTAGAAACCTACATTACACTAAGGGTATCATCTGTTTAAGAAGGGCTACCAACCCCTGTGCTTCAGAATCTAAATGACTACCAGTGATCAGAGATTAAGAATATATTTCCCTGTTCTCTCCTCACCAAAGGATAATTGTTTATAGTAGGTGTTTTATATCTTTCGCTGAAGTATCTGGTACTGTTGGAGACAGGATGGACATTTGGTCTAATGCAACATGGCAGGCCGTAAGCCCTTCTTTTCTCCTCCAACAAAGGAATCCTCCCTGCTTTCTGGAAATGTTTTCTTCTTTATTTTAAAAGATACCCAGATGAGAATGCCAGAGTTTAGAATTGATATTGAAATGGGATTTCATAGAAATTTAGGGCTGGAAGGGACTTCATCAGGTGATCTAGTCCAGCGCCCTGCATTGGGGCAGGACCGAGTAAACCTAGACCATCCCTGACAGGTGTTTTGTCTAACCCATTCTTAAAAAACTCCAATAATGGGAATTCCACAACCTCCCTTAGAAGCCTATTCCAGAGCTTAACTACCTTATAGTTAGAAAGTTATCCCTGAGATCTTGCTTCAGATTAAGCCCATTACTTCTTGTCCTACCTTCAGTGGACATGGAGAACAATTGATTTCCATCCTCTTTGTAACAGCCCAGGAAGGGAGAGTAGTTATTTAAGTTAAGGGCCAATGTTGGCACAAGAACAAAGGGATATAAACCAGCCATCATGGTTTCTAACTATTAGAGGAGTGATGTTCTGGAATAGCTTTCCAAGGGGAGTAGTAGGACAAAAATCCTAACTTGTTTTAAGACTAAGATTGGTAGGTTTATGGAGGGGATGGTATAATGAGAGTGCCTACAATGGCCTATGGCCCATCCACTACTGCTGTTAGCAAATATCTCCAGTGTCCGGAGATGAGACTCTGGAGGGGGAGAGCTCTGAGTTACTACAGAGAATTCTTTCCTAGGTGTCTGGCCAGTGGATCTTGTCTATCTGCTCAGGGTTTAACAGCTCTCCATATTTAGGGCCAGAAGGAAATTTTTTCCCAGGTCAGAGACTGTGGGTTTTTTTTTGTCTCCTCTGCAGTGTTGTGCAGGGATAAGTCGCTGGTTTGAACTAGCGGAAATGGTGGATCCTATGTAATTTGAAGTCTTTAAATCAAGATTTAAGGATTTCAGTAACTCAGTCAGAAGTTATGGGCCTACCTCAGTAATGGGTGGGTGAGGTTGTGGCCTGCAATGTGCAGGAGGTCCAGCTGGATGATTCTGGTGGTTCCCTCTGGCCTTGAAGCCTCTGAGTCTATGTGGGTGACAGCCCTTAGCATATTTGAAAACCATAAGTAGGTCCCACCCCTCTGTCTTCTTTTCTGAAGACTAAACATGCCTAGTTTTCTAACCATTCCTCAGAGGTCAGGTTTTGTAAACCTTATCATTTTTATTGCTCTGCTATTCTCTCCATGTCTTTCTTAAAGTGTGGTGCCCAAAACTGGACACCGTAGTCCTCACAGTGCCAAGTAGACGGGTACAGTTACCTTCCATGTTTTATATATGACTTTCCCATTAATACACCCCAGAACGATATTAGCCTTTTTTGTAAGTGCATCACAATGTTGACTTGTATTAATTTTGTGATACATTACAAACCCATTACAAATTTTCAGCAGCACCACTGCCTGGCCAGTTATTCCCCTTTTTGTAGCTGTGATTTGATTTTTTCCTCCCCTTCTTCCTAAATGTAGTACTTTGCACTTGCCTTTATTGAATGTCATCTTGTTGCTTTCAGACCAATTTTCTAAGGTATTGTGTTGATATCTTCTAGTGTGTAAAATAACTTGACTTTTTAGCATTGTAAGACAGATAATACATGAACGTCACTGGAAACGGTGTTGAAATAAGATACTTTAATTGGAGTACACTTAGTCTACAAAAAATATACCTGACTAAATAATGGGAAAATTATTTATTAGTAACCATTCAATGAAAAGCTGCCAATGAATATGATGTATTATTCACAATTAATTTGTCCAGCTCCATTACAAAATACTAATGTGGCAATTGAATTGTTCAAAATACATCCTACACATCAGAAAAACAAACACAAAAAACCCAGTTTTGATCCAGTTTACCTCTTAAAAACTAATGTCTGTACTGTTGAACTGTTCGTGCATAAGGGATTATCTGTTGCTAAATGTGTCATTTCTCTCTGTGCTGGCATCAGGTAGTCTGCAGTGATAATGGATTGTTGTTGTGGTATTTTTCCATGGGGTTGTTTGGGAATGGAAGTGGGAACTAATTGGTAACTAGAGTTATTGCCATTTTATACTAATTGTATGACCTGTATCATTGCTGAATAGTTGCATTGCAGTTCTGCTGAAATAGAATATTATGTTGAGCACTTCTCTTGTCTTAGGTCCATTGCAAGAGAACTGGAAAGGGGTGAAATGTGAAAGCAAACAACACCTTAATTGTATGATTAGTATGAACTGGGTGGCCTGTTAAACAACGTCACTTTTGTAGAGTTTAAAACTGGTTTTATTTATTCTGTTTTAGTTACATGATGATACTTACAGCCCTGTGTTAGATGCAACCTTTGTCATGGTGGCCCGTGATCCAGAAAACAAGAGGTAATTTATCTGTATGGGAAACTGGGAAAACCACATAATCTAGATTGTTGTTGTTGGAAAGTGGCAAATGCTCTAACTTTTATATGTGCTTCAGTTATAAGTAAATCATATACTTGCCTTTTTTTGGTTAGGAAATAGACAGTATATTTTCAGGTTCTTTTGGGGAGAGCTTGAGGGAGAGGTGGTCTACAGTTAGCGTCTTAGAACTGTACACCGAGTACTGTTGGTGGTTTTCAAACTATAATTGGCATTTGACCCATTTCTAGAAATGGTGTTTTCCTGAATTTAAACAATAGACCTGATTAACATGCCAGAAGGAAAAGTCCACCAGGAATCTACTGAAACCATGAGAATTAATTGGTCCCTGTATCAAGGGAGGGAAGGGCTGATACCCAACTTGTAAATGGTCACTCACAAATATAATTTTAATACCGTACTGAAAATGCTGGGAGTTCCTTAGAGGACTGTCTCAACCCAAAACTTGTGTAACTAATAACTGGGACTGTTAATGATTCTGAAGGAATTTTAAAATTCTAATTTACATTTCCTCATCTTGCTGGTTTTACTTCCCACATATTATTTTGCTTGGTCATTTAAAACAAACAAACTGATCATTTTCTCTTTTGGCTTTTAGTACACTAGCATTGCTGTGGGAGGCTTAACTAAAACCTCTATCTCTTCCCTGTTTAATTTGCAATTTTCAAAAATTGTAAATCTTTCTATTCATAATAGGTTTAACAACTTCTTGTGTGCATAATGATAAAAATATTTTTGTGATTAAAATAATTCCATGTCCTTGACATAGTAATATGGTCACATGTTTATTTCTTCAAGTTTATAATGTATCTATCCTAGGTACTTAAATGGGTCCTGTTGCTGTAGTATCTGAACACCTTACAGTTTTTAATGTATTTATCCTAACAACACCCCTGAGTGGTAGGAAGTGCTATTATTTCCATTTTACAGACAGGAAAGTGATATACAGAGAGAGTAAGTAACTTTACTGAGATCAAAGAGGATGGCTGTGGCAGAGTAGGAATTGGCCATGGGCAATCCAGGTTCTCGGCTAGTTCTCCAGTCACTGTACCATCCTTCCTAACCTCAGATCTGGGTAACTATTCCAAAAAATAAAATATACAAAATAATATAAAAAGACCACCTCAGCCCAGCTCCCTCCTCTGTAGTAAGAGAACAGAAAGAGAAAACCTGGACTTTGCAGCATGCTTGGAAAGTTAGCAAATCTGGGGAACAGAGAGAAGCTGCCTCAGCAGTGTAGCATGATGCAAACATAGCATATATGTATCTTTTTGTATCCAGTCTGAACATAATTTAACAATTTAAGAGCAGAAGTAACTTCTCCAAATTATGGAGAGGGAGGGCTCCGAAGAGTAAACAGTCATCTTGCTATGCAAAAGTTTTGTATGTTAATTTGATCTATATAATTAGGCATTGTAGATTTATGCAGCACAATAAACAAATGAACTGGACTGTAGGCAGCTTCTTATGTTCTTATTTGATAAGCTGTATGTTTGGTAAACAGCTTTTGGTTGCTGATAAGGCCACTGCTGAAATGAATAAATTATGGCTGAAGGCTTGCTACAGGTTTTTTCAAGTTCTTTCATTTCATTATTTTAGACAACTATTTAGACAATTATTAGACAATCCTAGATCACAGCTTGAATTTACTGTACTTCTAAATGGTTTCAATCTGCTGTAATCTCTTATATGAAAATTTTGGTAATCATTTAACTTTTTAAGAAGTATAAATGCTATGAGGACTCATTTTTAATTGTACTAGAGAACTGTTAACAGTCTGAGATCGGCTGAGCAATAGAGCCGATGGGTGACCTTTCGGTGTCACCAGCCATCCTATGAAACTTATTTATTTCTTTAGATGTCATCTTATCTGGGATAAAGCTATGTCTTTCTCTCTTAGATTGTTTGTGGACGAAGGAATGATGAAGGAATGTCTATTGATCTTTCCCCCTGTGCATTTACATGACAATTTTTTCTAAAGCATATCACTTTAAAAATAATTCATATCCATAGGCCAGCATTTGTTAATCCATTAATTCCTGAGGGCCCAGAGGAGGAAGAAATCTTCAGGAAAGGAGAATGTATGTAATACTTCATGTATACTTTATGGTAGTGGGAAACTCTGTATAGATTCATTTCAGTAACCGAGAGAGAGCGGAGTTCAGAAATTCTACTAGCAAGAGTTGCTCTTAATTTATTTAAGATCAAATTTTATTCCACCTCACACAACTGCTCATACCTGGAGATGAGTCCAAACCATGAATTTTGAATCTGGATTTTGAAACATTTTCCCCCTCAACTTACCTCAGATACAGGGTTTTGTTTTAGATCATATCTAGTCATATCAATTTTTATATGCTATTGTAGTACATCAGAAGTGCTGAATAACTAAGTGAGAGTAAGGAAACTGTATATATGTTAATTAAATAAACCATACTTCCTGAACTGCTGCATCTTGTCTTCATATTTGGACTGTGGCACACCGAGGGCTATACTATCTAAATTGAATCACATAATATCTTACCCATTAAAGCCCCTATTCAGGACAGCATTTAAGCACATGCTTAACATTAAGTGTGCATGTAAATCCCATTGATTTCAATTTTCAGTGCTTTAATCTTTGTACAACCAATTTGACACTTTAGAGGGGCCTGATTTTCAACAACTGGGTGCTCATCACCTTCTGAAAATAGAGCTCTTTCATATATCTCAACTTGGGCATCCAAAACCAGAGGCAACCAAAATGACTAGTTGTTGGACTGTTCCTTTATATTCTAAGTATATTTCACTGCACAAGACATAAGATAGAGAGGAAGTCATTGTTAGCTTTCTGTATGTGCATGGTAAATCTTTGGGGTTTGTGGCAGCATGTACTATGTATGACTGATTTTTCATTTTCTGACTCACCCTTGGTGACTTTTTTTATTTAATTAAAGTTTGCTTCAAAAATACCTTGTTTTAGAGGAGTTCAAAACTGCTCTACTGAGTTCAGATAGCTAACTAAGTTAAAATCTGAAAATTGTGGGCTGCCATAACTGGTTTCATCATAATTCATGTCCTCATAAATTTGGTTCTTTGTACTGTATACACAGTAACCACACGAGTTTGTGGGGAAATCCAAATGCATGAGCAGCTAATTAACTGAACCATAGAAATGCTATTGAAGGAGATAAGAGGGATGGATTGCAGTATCAGGACCCTTGGAACTTGTCTTGATAAAACCAACTTTAAAAAAAAAAGTATAAGGCACAGATCCTTGCAAAAGCCTCATTACATTGTGTTTTTTAAAGTCCTCTGTTTTGTTTATTTTTAAAAGGGTACACAAATGAAGTACCAGAAGCCTCTTAAAAGCTCCTTTTCCCCCAAAGTTCTACCCTATCTTCAGTAAATATTTAGAGTGTATATATAGATACATACTGCCAACGATACAAAAAGTAGAAATGTCACACACACTATTCAGTTCCTTTGCATTTTTTAGTATGAATCAGTCTGTAGTGGTTAAATGAATATCCTAGTATGTGAATAATGAGTCTGCAGTACATTGCTATGTTTAAAAGACCAACAAATTCTGTTGGCACACCAGCTAAGTGAGCATTTCAAAATAAAGCACTTAAATAAAATGTATGGGTAAAATCCTAGCCCCAGAGAAGTTAATTGCAAAACTCCTATTGACTTCGGTGGGGCAGATTACACCCTATATTTTTTTCTTTAATGCAGACAAATATTAAAAGCAAATTTCTGATAGTAGTCTGACTGTGAATACAAAAATCACTTAATCTGGTGATGAATTTTAAAATGGAGAGAGGAGTTGACCCCTTTGTAAAGCAATTGAAAACCAAGTGATGTTCTGCTATCTTTGTGCTCAATGCATTTTTTTTCTTTAGTGAACAAGATAAGGAGGGTTGATTTCAGCACTGCATCCTTACTGAAAATGGCTCCCACTGCAGAAGAAAGAACCACTGTTCATAATATATTCCTTAATACACTGGACACAAGGCAAGTAGGCGAAGAACTAATAACTTGCAAGAAGGGACGGTAATGTGGCAGTTGAATGCACAGTTGTAGAAGGAATGCAGATACTTTTTGCTTTTCTATCCCATCACTTAAACACTTGGATGCTGTCTCCTGTACCTGGGATAAAGGCACAAAGCACCATCAATGTGCTGATATACCATTTATGTTCCCGAATGAATTTTGTGCTATCCAAGAAAGCTAATGCTATGCAGCAGCTGCAGTCAAGAATAAAACAACAAGGTTACAGTAGATGGCTTCTGAGAAAGCAGGATTGAATAATCTTAAAAAAAGGGATAGTCATGCTTAACCACAAGAAGGAATTTAACCCCCTAATGGGCTGTTGGAGCTATTGCACTGGCATTGCCTTAATAACTGGCTAGACTTCTAAAGGGAAGAGGTGTTCCTTGGCCATAATAATATTTTGCACCTGCTGATCCAAGATTCTCACAGTGTGTTGTAAACATAAATTCTGGCACCCTGTGAGACTTACTGCTTAGCATACTAATTTTACAGATTATGAGGGGTCTGGGAAATAGAGATACAGAGAGGTTATGAGTTATAGACAAGAAAACCAGAGTGAAAGATTTAAAAAAATGTGATGGGGCAAATAATCTGAAAAGTGGCAGAATTAGAAAAGATTAAGAAGTGAAGTGATGATAATAGAGGGAAAAGAAAGCTGAAAATATAATTCTTGTACAATTAGTAATATTTTTAATCTGAAGTGAAAAGAGAATCAGGAAAGACAGCAGGAAAGTCAAAGTAAGATACAGAAAGTAAAGTGAGAGAAAGGAAGAAAGGGAAGGACAAAAAAGGGTAAGGGAAACATTTTATTACCATTTGTATTTTTAGTTTTTTTAAAAATCCCTCTATCTGCATGATATCTTTAAGCTTTCTGAAGGAACAGCAGTAGAGTTAGACACGTGCACTCACACAGAGCCATTCTTGAACTAACTTTATTAATACAAAGCAGGAATAACAGTACACAAGAAAATTCTGTAATGTCTATAGAAATAACATTAGCAGAGCTCTTATTTATTCCAATAATTCACAATGTATGTCTCTTAAAATTAGTTGTTACATGGCTGAAATTTTCAAGGCTACTTAGTTGATTTAGACATATCTTCCATTTAAAATTAGCAGATGTATGTGTAAATCCCCTAGACAAATTTGCAAATCTTAAACTATGTGTCTGTGATTAATTCATCTGGAAACTTGCATCTTCTATACCCTAATACAGTGGTTTTCAACCTTTTTTCATTTGCAGACCCCTAAAAATTTTGAATGTAGGTGGGGACCCCTTTGGAAATCGTATAGTCTGCAGATCCCCAGGGATCCGCGGACCACAGGTTGAAAACCACTGCCCTAATAAAAAGGTGAAGGACTTGCTTAGGGAGTGTAGAATGGATTTTTGGTTGGCTGGGGTTTTTTGCTAGTTAAACACTTCAGGTCAGGGGACTTGAGAGGTTTTTATGGTCTTAAGAGCAATGGTTCCCCCTTAGGCACATGCATAAATATTTTGAGCATCAGAGCCTAACTTTACTCATGTGAACAGTCCCACTGAAATGATCCACTTAAAGTTAAATATGAGCATACATGTTTGAAGGATCGGGAACTTAGACTAGACACTTGTATTAATCAAGTAGTGGTTTTTGAAGTCTGTCAGAAACTACGTTACTAGCACTTCCATTTTTTCCATTTGAATCCTGGCTTGCTTGTTGTGTGCACACACAAAGGGTTTTTCTATTTTTGCTGTTGTAGCTTGTTGAGCACCGTTAAAGCTGGATATTGAGTGTATTGCCTAAAACCCCTTGTTTCTACAGGACTGTAAGTTTTCGGAGTCGTGTGCTACCACCCAATTCAGTATGGATGGAAGATGCAAAACTTAAGGGCTTGGAGATCTGCCATCCTCAGGTATTTGAAGGAATACTAATGTGTTACAAAAATCATAATGAATGAGTTATGAATCATCTTTAAGGTTGCCGGATCTAAGACATTTAACTAGGGCTTTTTTGTTTTTTTTCTCTGATGTTTAAATATAGTTCTAAATGTAAGACTTTTAGCATTTCTTTTGATTTATCAGAAGAGATATCTTAGTAAAGAAATTCCTCCCCAGACATCTGCGAGTAATGGGTATTAATCAAGAGACAGTATCCATCAGTGTTAGTCTTAGGGTTGCCACCCATCCAGTTTTCACCCAGACAGTCTGGGTTTCGGCTTGTATATCTGCATGCTATTTAACAAGCCCTGATATCTGGGGGTTTTTTATCTGGGGGAAGAGGCGGAACATGGGACGGGGCCTCAGGGGTCTGATTACCACCCATTAGAAAGGTAGGAACCCTAGTTAGTCTAATTTGAGAGCACAAGATTTTGACTGAACAGTTCATATTGTTTTAACAGCTTTTGTCTGCCATGAAGAAGATTCTTTTTAAATTAGCATTTGAATATACCAACTAGGCTTACAGATTTGTGCAATGCAAACCCTAAAGTAGTGTTTCCCAAACTTGTTCCACTGCTTGTGCAGGGAAAGCCCCTGGTGGGCTGGGCCAGTTTGTTTATCAGCCGCGTCTGCAGGTTCGGCCAATCGCGGCTCCCACTGGCCGCGGTTTGCTGTGCCTGGCCAATGGGGGCTGCGGGAAGCGGAGGCCAGTACGTCCCTTGGCCTGCACCGCTTCCAGCAGCTCCCATTGGCCTGGAGCAGCAAACTGCAGCCAGTGGGAGCCGTGATTGGCTGAACCTGCAGACGCGTCAGGTAAACAAACCGGCCCGGCCCACCAGGGGCTTTACCTGCACAAGCGGTGGAATAAGTTTCGGAGCCACTGCCCTAAAGTTACAAAGGTTTACCTGTAGGGCTTAGCAAATGTACAATTCCAGTAGTACAAATACAGAAGTGAAAACACCTGACAGATTCTGCAGAGAGTGTTTAAGATGGGCTGACCACAATTTTTTTTGTTTTTGTTTTTTGATTTTGTTTTGGATGAGGTGAGCTCTTAAGAAGTAAGCACGCTGAGTCATTTAGACTTCTGTATATATTTTAATTGTGCTGTACAGCTGCCAAATACTCATTATAGGAGCTATGTATAATTCCATAACCAAGAAGAAAGATGAATCTGACAGGCTTTACCACTGTGTTGTGTGAGTACATGCATATTGTTGCCAGTTTGCTTTGTGTTTCTAAATGCAGGCACGGAACATTTTCAATAGAATCTTTGGGGGGTTTCTCATGAGAAAAGCATTTGAGCTGGGATGGGCTATTGCCTGCAGCTATGGGTGAGTTTCAGGTTTTCAGTATTTGTGTAATCCAGAACATTTTGTGTGTTTTGTTAATAGGGTAGGGGGAAACCGACCAACAAAGTAAGAGTTCAGCAGTCAATGGAAAATATGTATAGTTGGGATAGAAAAGGGTTTGATGTTTGAATGGCTATTCTAACAGCAGGGCACATCAGTAACCGCTGTAACTTTAGCTTAATCAGGGTCAGAACACACCTTTCATTGTCACTAATAACTCTAAACTTGCATACCAGAGTCCTGGAGCTCAGATTTTACAATCTGTTTCTGGGAAAATATGTAACTGATGGAATTTTGTTTTATTTTTAAAGTGCCTTTCTGTGCTACTATCACTAACTCTTGGAGATACACACACTGGCTAAAAATGTCTAATATGGGTTCTTGTAGGTACTACATCTTGTTACATCTGTGATTTGATGAATGGCTTATGAACTTTACCTTACAGCCACTTACTCTTTAAAAACTTGACTAGGTCCCTGATCTTGCAAACACTTCCCAACTTTAAGCACATAAGCAGCCCCGTTGAAGTCTCTGGGACTACACATATTCTGAAAGTTAAGCACGTGTGTAAGCCTTTGAAGGAGTGAGGCCTGAGTGAAGAGGACTAGACAAACCAAAAGAGGCAGAAAATTGTGTTTTGACTCTCGTACATAATGTTGCTAGAGTATGAGGTGTAGTAGAAGAGGGTGGGAGCCAGTACTGCGGCAGGAGTACATGTATCATCACCTTTATGCTGGCATTCCCTCAGGATATTTGTTTTCTTCTTGGCACCCTGGCAATATTCTTTAGCAATTCTTATTGGTTTTTATATTTATGTGGCTCAATTTCAGATAAATTTTGCATTAAAAATAATTGAAATTGTTTCAACTTGTGCAGAGACAAGTAGCTGCTCTTGAATACAAAGTGCCTTTTCTTCTCCCCTCTGCCAGAGGTTCCAGACCTTATGTAGTAGCTGTAGACGATATCATGTTTCAAAGACCAGTTGAGATTGGATCCCTGTTACTACTTTCTGCACAGGTAGGAGTTGGTCTCTTTTCAAACAGCCTTAAAGCTTTTTTAGCTTGATGTCTTCATTCTCAATCATTGGCAATGAACAATGAGTTAGAAAAGAGAAACTGACTTTCAATGTCAAGCCGTGGAATTAATTCTTCTTCCATCTTGTCCCCTTTCTTTAGTGTAAACGATAAAATAATAACTGTGTCCACTGTTCTGTCTAGGTTTGTTTTACAGAAAAAAACTATATCCAGATTAGAGTACACAGCGAGGTTTATGATTCAGATACCAGAGAGCACAAGACAACCAATGTCTTCCATTTCACTTTTATGTCAGAAGGAGAGGTACCACAGATTGTCCCAAAAACATATGGTGGTAAGTGGCAGTTTTAATGCATCTCATTAAAACTTTGTTCTTGGAAGGGAAAGACCTATTTTCTGTCTGCTGGTGGAGCATACTTAATTTTTAATAGACTACTACTACTGGTAGAGTAACACAAAATGCCCCTTCATACTAAACTGTATTTATTCTATACAAATGTATTTCATATTGCTTCTCAAACTTGGTCTTCTGTGTAGTGCCCAGTACACTCTAGAGGCTGAATTTTTAAAGTGATAATTTTTTTAAAAACACTCATCTCTTTTCTTTGTTCCTGTCATTTCAGAGTCAATGTTGTATTTAGATGGGAAGCGGCACTTCAGTGCCGCCATGAAAGAAACCAGAGAAGTGGAGAAAACTACTGCAGCACCATAGCAAATTGTTAGCTTTGGAGAAACCTCTGCCAAAGATTGCTAGCTTCCTATGCACGATGTATCAGTGATGGTATTCCTGCTCTTTTACGTGATGTGGTCATCGGTGTAGGCATATTGGAAAGTGGTCTGTTTTTGTACAAAAAGACAATCATTTAGCGCTATTTATACAACTAGCTGTAGGCTCACTGTGATGTTGTACAGCTTTCTCCTCTCCTCTCCCTTTAGAGATTCCATAGTTAAGATGTATACCACCTTAAAATTCTGCTGTGACAGGCTGTTCATGTTAGCAAAGAGGGATTGAAAAACATAGTCCAGAAAACTTTAAAGGGATACTACCATTGAGAAGTCTCAATTTTGTCACCATTCCCATCTCTTCTGTCCTACACACACTTGTGCTTCTCGTTATGGTCCCTGATATAGGAAAGCTATTATCTCTCTAAAATGAGGGCTGCAAATGTTGAAATCCTGTTTGATTATTTGTGTGCAAATCTGACCCAGGGTCCTGTCTAAGTTAAAATCAGCCTCTCGAGAACAGGCGCATCTGGGCAGCGGAAGGACAGTGTGATGTGCACATCTGTGTCATAATCCTTGCAATCAGGTGTGTATTTGTCTGCTGATGGGCTCTCACAAGGTTGCTGCAGCCCTTGTTTTGAAGAATTGATGATTTGTGTTTCCTGTTTCTTTTGAGGACACACTCATTTTTACAATGAATGAAATGGCCAAATGTGAAGTTTACAGATATTTGTGTGTGGGAGATCCCACCAGTACCATATACTCCTTTTTGTATTCTTTTATATAAGTGGTTCAGTAAACACAAGATGACTAGTGCAAATTCCTGAGAGAATTATTCCCGAAAGCTTTTAGGCTAAATACAGTACAGATGCTATTGGCAGGGTGTTGTGTACGTGTGGAGGGGAAGGCAGGCTTTTTAGAACAGAGCATTAGGTTCCAGCTTTGTGTGGAGGCTGCTAGAACAGCAAGTGGATTGAGCTGATCCATGCAGAAGTCAGGGCCCAGTGACCCTGTTGAGCAGCTTACAGGCCAGGTCCTGAGGTGGAAAGATAGCAGTGTTCTCGGACCCAGAAAGATTCCAACCAGATGAGAGAGTATTGCTAGAAAAAAGAATCCTCAGCTGGACCATATACTGTTTTTTGTTGGTACTAAGGTGGGCAATAATGAAGCACTGCACCAAAGGATTATTTTGTATGTATGAAATGGAAAGCAGCGTTGTAGAGGGACTCTGACACCAGCTGAAGTCTCAGAGAATAATAGGACCTCTATAAAATGGATTACAAAGGGAAGATGTAGATCTGGCTGAGAACAACGATGGGATAGCTGTGGCGGAAGATGGAACAATCTCCACTTAAGTACCTTAGAAAAACCTCTTGCATGGCAGCAAAAGAAGAAAAGGGAAAGTTCATGTGGAAGCATGCAGCCTAGAAACTGGCATATACGTTACACCCTTGACAAGACCGAGCGAGGAAGATCAGAAGGAACAGAGGCAAAACACAGACAGCGCATCCAGTCAGTAAAACGCAGTTACTGAAAGGGAGCCACCAAAGAGTAATATAGATAATAGATGTAATATTAGACTTTTGATTAGTACTGTGCAACACTGATTTTAAAATTATCACTATGCAATACCAGTAAAGCACATATTAAATGGATTAAGAACTGGCTAACAGATGGGTCTCAGAAAGAAGTTGTCAGTGGTGAATCATCATCAGGTGTGGGGTTTTCTGGTGGGATTCTGCAGGGCTCAGTACTAGCCTGATGCTTTTCATCAATGATTGTTAGCCGACGGCCAAGGATGTTTGGTGAGGTGCCAGCTATGCCCGTTTATACCATCCGTGACTTTAACCGCTAGGACGCACTGTCCCTTCGCGGCGGGCAGCCCGGGCTAGGCTGACGGATGCCCCAAGGTCCTAACCACCCGTGACTTTAACTGCTAGAGCTCAGAGCTCCTTCGCAGCGGGCAGTCAATACTGACTGACAGGTGCCCCAATGGCAGCACTAAGAGCCTCTCCACACCCCGTGACTTTAACTGCTAGAGCTCAGAGCTCCTTTGCAGCGGGCAGCCAGGATTGACTGACAGGCGCCCCAAGAGTTTGCCCCATGGAGGCGGCATAACTCAACGCTAGGCTCTTAGTACTCTCACCTAATGGCCAGGCTTTAGAGCCAAAACGGCTGAGGTTCTTTAATTGTGTTGGCTGCTTTACAGTAAACCAGAGAAAACAAGTCAGGCTTATGCACAAATGGTTACCAAAATTTATTAAGCTAGATTCTAATCATGTGGTTACAAAATTGCTAGTGCCTACTTATTTAAATGTAGAGATGTTACACACACAAACAAGTTACAAAACTGAAGCCACAATCCCAAAGAAAGAAAACAAAGTATAGAGCTCTATTTCAAAATATGTGTACACTAAAGATAGGAGATCAGGTGTGGGTGCTTCTTACCCTCCTTGCATCTCTCGATTCCAGCGGTGCCAAGCCAGGATCGGTCACTCAATTCCGCGGAAAGACGAATAAGGGACAAGGCTTAGGGACCCTCTTAGCTGCAGAAGCCTTGGGAGGCTGTCACTTATCTGACCAGCAGATAGATAGTGAAAAGCACTCAAAAATCATGGTGCTGTAGGTCCCCTACTTATACCTCTGTACTCCTTTATTCTCTTTCTCCTTTCTTATGCCAAATTGAGGCTGGTCTGTCTGGGTGACGCCAGCTTTCGCAAGAGTAGTTTACACTTGCAAGGGAGAGAAACAATAAGTTTCGACTACTGGACATTTCTTTTATCAGGGTAAATATTTTCCCACCTAGGATGTTGGTGTGTGTGCATCACGCTATTTAGTAGGGGCTAAGAGCCATGTCTGTCACAGGGCCTCTGCCTGCTGTGAGCTTAATCGTTGTATCTGTTCCCAGAGGCACATTGTAGCAGCACACCTGTGCTTTTCACAGCTTCAAAGGCTGTGCTGGAATATATGTTAAGTGCCCTGTTCCGGCTTCCTCCTGTGTTTCCAGCAATGCTGGTCTGGGGGGGGGGGGGGGGGGCTGGCTACAATGATGCAGAAGTAAATATAAAATCACTGCTGATAAAATGTGTGGATGCCACAAAGGTTGGTGGAGAGGTAATTAATGAGGTTAGGGCAGTCATACAAAGCAATCTGGATCACTTTGTAAGCTAGACCTATTCAAACAAATGCATTTTAACACAGCCAAATGCCAGGCCATACATTTTGGAACAAGAAATGCAGGCCATACCTGCAGAATTGGGGCCTGTATTCCTGGAAAGTAGTGACTGAAAAGTATTTAGGGGTCATAGTGGATAAGCAATTCAACATGAAATCCCAATGTGATGTGGCAAAAAGGGCTAATAGGATCCATGGGTGTATAAACAGGGAAGTAGCGAGTAGAGTGGGGAGGTGATTTTACCTCTGTATATGGCAGTAGTGAGACCAATTCTGGAATACTATGATCAGTTTTGAAAAATTGGAAAGGGGGTAAAGAGCCACAAAAATGATTTTGGAAACTGAAAAGCATGCCTTACAGAGAGAGACTTAAATAGCTCAATTTGTTTAGCTTATCAAAAAGATTGAGATGATTTGATTACAGTGTATGAGGGAGAAAATCCTGGGTACGAAAGAGCTCTTTAATCTAGTGGAGAAATGCACAACAAGAACCAATGGCTGAAAGTTATACACAAAAATTCAAATTAGAAAAAAGGCACCGATTTTTAAGAGTGAGGGTGATTAACCACTGGAACAAACTACCAAGGGAGGTGGGGGATTCTTCCTCTCTTGATGTCTTCAGATCCAGAGTGGATGCCTTTCTGAAAGATGTTTTAGTCAAACAAGTTATTGTGCTCAATACAGGGTTAACTGGGTGAAATTCTTTGGCCTGTGTTATCCAGGAAGTCAGACTAGATGATCTAATGGTACCCACTGGCCTTAAAAATCAGCAAGTCTAGAGTCTTACCACAAAGCGATTTTAGTGTGCAGCAAGCTGGAGTGTAAATTTACATCACCATCTGGAGAAGCCCTTAGAAGAAGCAAGTAATCTTGGTCTCTGATTCAGCAATCAATAAGGGAATACATTGATAGAACTAAGCACTATAGTAGGATCTTATTTGAGGATAAAAACATTTGAGAAATTCAGAATCCTGGTGTGAACTCTTCCACTTGTAGTAAAGTCAGGCCATTGTTTTTAAAAGGAATTTAATATAGCTCATTTCCATTAATATTAAAAGGAAACAAAATTCAACTGCATAGTGTGTTATTGTGACATTCCCTAGGGTACAGTCTGGACTGCTGAACAGCTGTGTCCCCTCAGTTCTTCAACCTGGGGTGCCTTTCACACTGCTTTGCTGTGGAAACAACCACTCCTGGTCTATTCACACACAGCCTCTAGCATGCAAAGTCACTTGCAGCTGAATGAGATGAGTGCTCTAGCCAGTCACTCCTGAATTATATTGCAGAGTGACACCAGCAAATTCTCTGTTCTAGACTTGTCTCCAGAAATATGCATCTTGCACTGCCCAGCTCTTTCCTTCTGTGCAGTATAAGCTCATAGAAAGTCTGTCATTTTACTAATAGAAAATATGCACAAACCCTGTCATCTCAAATGAAGTTCCCAAACATTTCAACGCAAACACACTGATTTATATAAAACAATAAAACAAGTTTGTAAACTACAGAAAGATAGATTGTGATTACAAGTAATGAGGCATAAAAGTCAGAATTGGTTAGTCTCTAAGGTGCCACAAGTACTCTTTGTGGATACAGACTAACACGGCTGCTACTCTGAAAGAAATAAAAGGCAAAACACAAACGAATACCTAACTTTACAAGCTAAATCAGGGGTGACCATCCTGAGCCTGATAAGGAGCCAGAATTTACCCATGTACATTACCAAAGAGCCACAGTAATACATCAGCAGCCCACCATCAGCTTCCCCCACCCCGCTCCCTCTGCCTCCCACCCATCGGCAGCCCTGCTGATCAGCACTTCCCCCTCCCTTCCTGCATCTCTTGATCAGCTGTTTTGTGGCATGCAGGAGGCTTTGGGAGGGGAGTGGGAGGAGCGAGGGCAGAGCAGGTTCAGGGGAGGGGGCGGGAAGGGATGGGGTGGGCGCAGGGCCTGTGGCAGAGCCAGGGGTTGAGCAGTGAGCACCCCCCTGGCACATAGAAAAATTGGCGCCCGTAGCTCTAGCCCCGGAGTTGGTGCCTATAGAAGGAGCCACATATGAATGTCTGAAGAGCCGCATGCGGCTCTGGAGCCACAGGTTGGCCACCCCTGAGCTAAATGAATTCAAAGCAAAGGTTTTTCTCATCACATGCTTTTACTGGCTGAACTCCTTCAATCAGGACCCCTCCCCCAGTTTTGTGTTCCTTCATGTGTCATTGATGCCGTGAGCAGAGAGAGAGAGGCTGAAGAAGGAGGATTTGTGTCCTCTGTTCTCCCTTACAGCATTTCTCTTCTTTGAGAATCATCCCCAGCTGGGGCTTAGGCAGCAGCAAGTCTGTTTGCCAAGATGTAAATTTATTGCTCACACACCTCTTTCTGTCAAAGAATGGCCACTTAACCAGGTGATTGTTCATCAGATTTTGTGGACACTGGCTGAGGCATGGTTGTCTCTGAGGAACTGGTTTGGGCTGCTACCCTAGAATTGGAATATGCCGTAGTAGAATCCAGAATTCTACAGTAGAATCTCATACCTCTACATACAATGTTGTCACACATATTTTACCAGGACAATAATGATCAACAAATTATGAGTTTTCAAATGATACTTCACAAGGCATACTTTGAATAAAATTTATCATAATTTGGTAAAAGTGGTACAGTCTGTCACAGTTACCTCTTGGTCATTCCCCTCCAAGCTGTTCTTTTTGTGTAAAGATAGGGTTAGACAACTTCTCCAGAAATGTTGAGGGGACTGATGCCATCTGACATATCTAAATAAAAAAAGGATACTTCTCCCCTTAAACCAACCTATTTTTTTGAGATCTTTCCCACCCCCCCCCCACAAAGTGTGGTACCCATCCTCTCAAAAAAAAATAATTTCTCCCCCTTTTTTCCTCCTTTTCTTTTTCATTCACAAAACCTATCTAGAATGAGTTATGGGTAGAGTTAGCTACCTTTTGCCTATATAGAACTTCTAACTTTTCAGCCAAACTTTCTGTTGAAACTTTAAGTTATGACAATATGGTGATATTTAATACTTTTTATCAGTTGTGATACTGTACATATTTCCTATTGTCTTCCATTTTGCATTCCAGACAGGAGGGCAATAAGATATACATCAGTGGTTCTCAAACTTTTGCACTGGTGACCCCTTTCAAACAGCAAACCTCCGAGTGTGACCCCCCCTCATAAATTAAAAATACATTTTTTATATTTACACTAGTATAAATGGTGGAGGTAAAGCAGGGTTTTGGGGGGTGGAGGCTAACAGTTCGCGACCCCCCATGTAATAACCTTGCGACCCTCTCTGAGGTCACGACCCCTAGTTTGAGAACCCCTGATATATATGGACCCTTTCTAAATTAATATGTTTGATCTATCCAGAAGTCCATCTGAAATTCTCTCCCAGTGTTCCCCTCCCTCATAAGAGGGAGCATGGGTGGATGTCAAAAAATAAGTAGTGAAGCTGAGAATTCAGAGCTACCTGTATCTGACCTATCAGTAGCCCCCTACTTCTTACATTTCAACTTTGGTACAGTAATCCTGTTCCTTGCATAACAGTGCTGAGTTAAAGTGGCTACCCAATCCTGTCCCCATCCTTTTCTTTTAGCAGCAACTCTATATACATAAAGCACCGTATTTTCCAACTTCACCTCTAGCGTAATTTTTTAAAACAAAAAATGGAAAACTGCCCTCTGTAGCTGTGGCCAAAGTCCAGAAAGCCAACCTAGCAAATGCAGAATAGAATGGAAGGCATAAGTGTGGAAGCCCTGTGTGTGCATAAAATTCCTGGTGACTTTGACTTAGAGATGTACCCCAATCAGAGTAATGATAGACATGTATGAATAACCATGTGTATACTGTAATTAACAAATAAACTAATGGAAATACGTTATTTGTGTATCTTGTTATTTCAGTTTTGTCAGGAAGTGTGGGTGTCTCTAGACCTGTTCTTGTTCAGCATATTAGTAGGGTAGCATGTATTCAGAGTTCGTCTGTGAGATGAGGAGTACTTGTGGCACCTTAGAGACTAACCAATTTATTTGAGCATAAGCTTTTGTAAGCTACAGCTCACTTCATCGGATGCTTATGCTCAAATAAATTGCTTAGTCTCTAAGGTGCCACAAGTACTCCTTTTCTTTTTGCGAATACAGATTAACACGGCTGTTACTCTGAAACCATCTGTGAGATGTATTTCCATCTCTGACTCTAGACCAGCTGAAGCTTACCTGTTTAGAAGAAATTTGTTACAATTTGCATGTCATGTAAATGTATGTGTTTATATACAAGCACATATGAGATTAACTTATATGGAGTTAAATCCTGTGTATAATGTTGTAAAAGATATATTTGATGTTGCAAAAACTGAATTTCACATTAGTTAAAAATGTTACATTATTTTGTATAATAAAATATTTATCCCAACTAAATGACCAAAATATAGCCCTCACCCCTACTTTAAAATGACTACCAATTCCAGACAGGCCTAATGATAGTAATAGCAAATACACTGCTAATAGTCCTTAGGGGAACAAGTTACTGTAATCATTAGTGTATTGTTCAATAAAATTAATTCATATTGACAAGAACTTTTGTTTTTTAAAAGCTACTACATACTTCCTGCTATCATTCTTCTTTTTTGCAGCATTACAGTCCTTCATTTTTGTCTGTATTGCATTTCCTTTGGTATAGCTACGTTCAATAAGAGCTATTGTATAGTACAGTGTAGTGAGGCAGAATGGCCTCCCTCTGGACTGGATAGTGAGGGACCACTCCCCTCCCTCTGATGGGGAGAGCCAAATGTGCCCCATCCTCCAGCTGGAAGTACCGGGAGAGGACAGGAAAGAGGAGAGCTCTGGAGCACTAGAGGGAGCAGATATCTCTTTCTGGGAGCTGCAACCCCTACAGGATCCCAGACTAACAGCTGAGCTGACCAGCACCCTGTGAACAAAGAGGCAGAGGGCACCGAGGAGTGGCTGAAGCAGCCACTGCACGACTGTGCGGTGGCAACAAATAGCCCATGCTCGATGGAGCGTCACGAACTAAGTGGGGGAGGAAATAGCGCAGGGGAACCAGACTTCAGTCCAGTTGTGCTGCCGGGAAGTGAGGCAGCGTGTTTTGGTGATTTCTCTGCTGACCCCATGGTGCGACCACCTTCCACTAATAAGGCCCTGGGTTGGGACCCGGTGGAGTAGGGTGGGCCGGGATCCCCTTGCCACCAGCCCCACCCCTGGGGTGGCAGCCTACTCACCTGAGGCCAGAAGGCCTTGTATAGACTTATATTGCTGCCTGCCCTAGCCAGGAGGCTTGGGCTAAAAACTGCTCATTGCTCTGCCCCACTCAGAGGGCCAGAACCACAGACCGTTGTTTGCTGTGAGTCCTGATTTTCCTGACTAGAAGGCCAATGGCATTTTGGGATGTATAAGAAGGGGCATTGCCAGCAGATCGAGGGACGTGATCGTTCCCCTGTATTCGACACTGGTGAGGCCTCATCTGGAGTACTGTGTCCAGTTTTGGGCCCCACACTACAAGAAGGATGTGGAAAAATTGGAAAGAGTCCAGTGGAGGGCAACAAAAATGATTAGGGGACTGGAACACATGAGTTATAAGGAGAGGCTGAGGGAACTGGGGATGTTTAGTCTACGGAAGAGAAGAATGAGGGGGGATTTGATAGCTGCTTTCAACTACCTGAAAGGGGGTTCCAAAGAGGATGGATCTAGACTGTTCTCAGCGATAGCAGATGACAGAACAAGGAATAATGGTCTCAAGTTGCAGTGGGGGAGATTTAGGTTGGATATTAGGAAAAACTTTTTCACTACAAGGGTGGTGAAACACTGGAATGTGTTACCTAGGAAGGTGGTGGAATCTCCTTCCTTAGAAGTTTTTAAGATCAGGCTTGACAAAGCCCTGGCTGGAATGATTTAATTGGGGATCGGTCCTGCCTTGAGCAAGGGGTTGGACTAGATGACCTCCTGAGGTCCCTTCCAACCCTGATATTCTATGATTCTATGACTAGGACTAACAATTACTTATTGCTTTGTGCTCCCCAGGGGGTCAGAGCCCAGACTGTTAACTGTT